TCTACTCAATCCATTGTGCACTGGAATTACTACAAAGAACTCAGAAATTACACCACATCTGCAATTCGTCGTGAAATGAGAGCATACTTAGACTTTGTACTTCTGCAAAAAAATTCTAAATCTACTTGGAATGCTCTTAGATCTCTTGATATCTTGAGAAAACCAACTGCCTCTTTTCCTGATAATTTAAAGGATACAGATAGTATAAATTCTCACTTCACCAACATTACTCACACACAAAAAACTCACCCCCAACTTTATCTTCTTGATCGATATCAGAACCAGTCTAGTGATAATACTTTTCAATTTTTCCCCGTTACATCATCTCAAGTGAGAAAACATCTTTACAAAATTAAAAGCAACGCTGTAGGTTCAGATAATATTTCATTGAGACTAATTCACCTGGTAGACGAATTCTTATTAGAACATTTAACGTTCATATTTAACACATGTATCTCCAGTAGTCAGTTCCCGGAGCAATGGAAGAGAGCCTCTGTTATTCCATTACCAAAATGTAACAATCCCACTACCCACTCAGATCTTAGGCCAATTAGCATACTGCCTACTCTATCAAAAGTATTAGAGATGATCTTAAAAGAACAAATGAACAAGTTTATGGAAGAATACATCTTACCGGCTACGCAATCGGGTGTTCGTTCTAGTCACAGCACTACTACTGCGCTTCTAGACGTAACTGAGTATATATATAATTCAATTGATAAAGGAAATGTTACTTGCCTAGTGCTGCTTGACTACAGCAAGGCCTTTGACACACTTGATCATCAACTTCTAATAAAAAAACTTTCCTATTTTGGATTTTCTGCACGGGCCGTTAAACTTTTAAAAAGTTATCTTGAAAACCGCACCCAGAAAATTGTCCTGGACGAAGCTGTGTCGAGATCCCTTCCGGTTAAGTATGGTGTTCCACAAGGTTCCATTTTAGGACCACTACTTTTCTCACTTTACATTTCAGATTTTCATCAATTTGTAGAAAATTGTCATATTCATCATTACGCCGATGATTCGCAACTTTACTTGTCTTTTAACCAAGGAAATTCTTTACAAGCTCAATACATCATAAATCTAAATTTAAAAAAATTATATGATATATCGTCAGCACATAATCTCAAATTAAACTCAAAAAAATCTGTCTTTATGCTATTTGGGCCCAATAAAGCTAGAAATCTTCTAACTAATAATTTTAAACTTAGCATAGGTCATGACCCCATTCCACTTGTTTATGATCATAAAAACTTGGGGCTGTGGATTGATTCTGAACTTAGGTTCACAAAACATATTTCTCAACTGTGTCAAAGCTCATACAACGTGTTAAGACAACTGTATCCTAATAGGGATATACTTTCACCTAAACTTAAATTAAAAATGTGTGAATCACTCATTATGTCAAAGTTATCATACTGCGATACGGTATTTGGACCAGCTCTTCTTCAAAGGGATTTAAATCGTCTTCAAAAAATTCAAAATTCGTGTATTAGGTTCGCTTACGGTATACGCAAATTTGACCATATTTCACAGAAATTCAAAGAATCAAAATGGCTGCATATCAAAAAATTACATTCTTTGCATATTCTGAATATAACTCACAAAATTCTTAAATATCAAAAACCGAAATATCTATTTAATAAATTCACACATTTCAGTAATAATTACGGAACTCGGAATAAGAGTACGTTAGTAATTCCCAAATTTAGTTCATCCATTGGACAGCGAAGTTTCTCTTACACCGCAGCTAAATTATACAATACACTGCCTAAAGAATTTGGATCGTACACTCTAATTAATTTTAAAAAAAGGTTAAAAGGCTTGATTGTCGGTTTAGGACGGTTCTAATAAAAACAATAATCTCTGTTCATCTCGGATCTGCTCTTTGGTTCTTGATATTTTCTTGGATCTTTACTGAGGTTGAGTTGAAAAACAGCCTATGCTGACACTCCGCCTATTCACCTTTGTTATTTTTATATTTAGGTAGAAAAAAAAAAAAATTTATTCTTTCTTTGTTTTTTGTTATGGTGAATAAAGACGATTTATTATTATTATTATTATTATTATTATCTGTAAATTCAACAGCCTAAAGAATATACTTAACTTTACCCAGCTAAAAACGGTTTATTATGCGCTTGTTGAATCTCATATTACATATATAATCTGTCAAAAGAGAATTTTAAAAATTTTATTTAAAAAGGACAGACTTTACCCCACAAACGCGCTTTATAATGGCATAGAAGTTCTAGATCCTTGGCAATTATTTTTCTTACAAAGTGCTTTAGAACAACACAAAAATAAACATACTCTAAGATTAAATGAACATCATTATAATACCAGAAATAAAAATTATTACTTATCAGCTACAACAAATAAATCTATAGGACAAAAATCACATGAGTATCTAGGACCTAAATTATTTTCATATCTACCATGTGATATCCTAAATATTACAAATAAATTACACTTTAAAAGGGCCTTAAAGAAATACATAGCTGAAATACCTCGTGAAACTATTCATGAATTAATTGAATGCCCACTCCTTTACAATATTTCTACAAACATCTCTCGAATATGATCATATTATACAGGGTGTTTTCGAACTTGGCGTCCAAATTTGTAGGGGTGGTAGTTCGCATAATTTGAGACCGATTCGTAGATTTCATTTTTCCAAAATATTTAAAATAAAAATAATTAAAAATTATAAACAGGTACGGTCCTGCACAGCGATAGGACTCGCGCGCGCTACGCTTAGAATCGACAAAATTGCAAATCGCAGGACTAATGCGCTACGCGCTCAGGGTAGGACCTGATCTTTGATTTTTTTTATAATGACTCTATTTTGTTTATTATAACTTTTTTAGAAAAATGAAATCTCGCTCTCAAATTATGCGAACTACCACCCCTACAAATTTGGACGCCAAGTTCGGAAACACCCTGTATGTATTAATCTTTAGTTTTAGTTTAATGTGTTATTATACAGGGTGTTTGTTTAATATTGCGAAAAAATTTAGAGGCGTGTCCCTTGGACGAAATGAAGCAAAAAAGTTCCTATGAACATATGTCCTATGCCTCTTAGATTTTGAACTACAGGGTGGTAAAGTTATAAGAAAAAAACTTATTTTTTTCGATTGTAAAAGTTTAAATTGTGTATCGGAAAATGGCTTTGGATGCATAGAAACTGCGAACCAATTTTCAGAAAAATATCTACAGGGGTATTAAATATATCGAAAAAAATAAGTTTTTTTTCTTATAACTTTACCACCCTGTAGTTCAAAATCTAAGAGGCGTAGAACATATGTTCATAGGAACTTTTTTGCTTCATTTCGTCCAAGGGACACGCCTCTGGATTTTTTCGCAATATTAAAAAAAACCCTTTTTAATAATTATTTGTTTGTTATTTAACTCATACAAAGACCAAGTCTTTATCGAGTATGAATGACTAAATATGTGTGTATTATTTCTTTAAATAATTTCTAAAATTTCTAACATTTCCATCATTTGCTCACAAAAATGCATTCTCCTATCACAATAGTCTTCCATCCTGAGTTGGTATTAATTTATAGGGTGCATTTTATTTTCTTTTAATTTTCGAGTGATGGATGTATGGCTAACACCATCTAATATTGTGGCTACTTGTTGACTCAAAGTATGTGGGTTTTCCTCAAATTGAAGCATTATGTCCATTTTATTGAATAAATTCGAAGATTTTTTTTTGCCTGCCTTACATGTCAAAGCTAACGGAATGTTTTACAAATTTTACTTATTGTCCCTTGAGATACATCGATGGCTCAATCAAATACTGCCACAACTCAAAAACTATTGTTTCGAGAAATTTCATTTTGAAATTTGTAAGTCTCTATTATCATTATTTTGTTTTTGACATAAAATCTTTATATTTTATTTAAAATCTTTAATATTTTGCTGTTAAAATTAACGATTACGATTATAAAAGCGGGTTATTGCATAGTTTTTATAAAATTTGGGTGTTTTTGCAGAAAATAACGCGAATTGAGGTAGTTTCAGACACAGTCTGTGACTAGATTTTAAATGATTTTTGGGCATATTTAAGGATATTTTTATTTGTGGCGGTATTTAAAGTAAAACCTTAATGATATTTTGCATCCATTGGACCAAAAATGTAATTTTTTTTGTTTTTTGACTTGTGGCGGTTTTTGATTGAGCCATCGACATGAGTCAAATCGGAAAATTTTTACTTAAATATGCAAACAATTACGATCTGTCTTGGTGTTTTATCTCCATAACCAATCATTTATAAAATTGTTATTTTATGCATTTCTGTTAAATAAACCAAGTTTCTGATCTGTAGTTAATGCATTCAAATGACACATACAACACTGACAGCAATTAATGTCACATAATTACAATCACGCAGCAAGTTGCTAAGATGGTTTAAATGAAATTAAGATTGCCAACTATGAAGAAAGTTAATAACTTTTGACTTTTTTTTGTTAATACCTTCAAAAAAGGCAATTTAAATTATTTTTGCTTGTTTTCTCATTATCAAGACCGAAACTCAATTAGTTATTAATTGTTTGGTGTGTTATAGGGAATTTCGTCATTCATCTGATGAATATATTTATTTTTTAAAAATTAATTATTGCAATAAATTTGAAAATCACAGTATTTTTAAATAGATAATAAAGAGACCTTTCAAATGAGTTATCACACGCCCCTACTTCCTTTTACAAATTTGGGTACAGTAATTGGGCTATTAAATTTATTCCATTTAGCTGTTGCACAGTGTACATTGTTTAAACTGATTTCCATTGTTTAAGTGACATTTTTTATTGAATTTCGCTATCTAGCAAACAAACTTTAATACCTAAATTGATTCTAAAATTTGATATGAAGCATTCAACAAGTATTCTAGTGTATACTAAAAATAACTAAAGACTTGTTGATTTTATTTGAATAAATCAAAAATAATATATTGTGGTCTATACAATGCTATAAATAATTATTTTTTTGTTTACTTTTTTCTCAATACTGCGTTCTTGAAAAACCTTTAAAACATTTGGTGATTGATTTGTAGTAAATGCTGCACAACCTTCTTTCATAATACCACTTTTATTCCAGGCTATGGATTCTAATGAGTTGCCTAACAATGCAGTATGATCCATATCTAAAGGTGTTATCCCCGCCACTTTTGTATTCCTAAATAAAAATATTGATTTTACATAATCATAAACTAAACCTATTTATTTCAGAGGGTACATAGAAACATGCCATTAAAAAACTTTTAAATTTAATATATGTGTCATTTTAAATTTCATTTGAATAATAAGTTGCTGACAACAAATAGTAAGTTATTAACATAAATTAATGCAAGTGGCAATTTAAATATATTACATAATATTTTTACCTTATAACATTCGTGCAGTCATATTCACCACCAATTCCAACTTCTAAAATAGCTACATCAACTTTATTATCCAAGAAAATATAAAAAGCCATAATAGTCAGAAATCGAAAATAAAGAGGCATGTCTTCGTCATGTTCCTAAAATTTATGAATGACAAAAAAAATCAAAGACAGGACCATTATTTCAAATATACCTTCTGGCTGTTGAGTGATTCATATATTTTCCAAAAGTAGTTACTAAATTCCGCCTTAGAAATTGGTTTGCCATTCAACCGTATCCTTTCCCTAACATCCAATAAATGTGGTGAGGAAAAGAACCCTGTTGTATATCCATGGTTTCTTAAAATTTGTTCACTATAAGCACAGGTTGTACCTTTACCATTTGTGCCAGTTACGTGGATAACAGAAAGTTTATCCAAATCTTCTAATGTCAAGCCAGTTCTAAAATTATTATGTCCAAAAAATTATATACACAGATTGATAAAAACCAAACTTTAAAGAAACATTCCTTTTTTTTATATTAATTTTTTTATTCATTCTTATTTAAATTTTTGGTTATTTGGCAAGTCGTTGTTTACTTATCTATTTGCATTATAATAAAAATGTTTTGCATACCTAGTTGGTTTAGCCTTATTTTTGATAGATTTAAAACTATGTATAACAATGTCATTACTTAATTATTGCTATTTTTACAATTACCTTTTTATAAATTTTGTAACTTCTGATATATTCGTTTCACTTTTAGGTCTTTTTGCAGCATTTGTTAAATACTGTTTATTAGTTTGTACGGCATTTAAAGCTTCTATTGCTCCCTAAAAAAGTCTTACATTAAAAAATAATCATAAAAAAATATGTATGATTTACCTGATAATTTTTAGCAGACATGTTACTCTCTAGTACTTTAACTGCGTGAGAAAAATATCTTTCAAAGGTAGTAATTATCTTGCCATGTGAAACCTTCATATCTTTAGACACAATCTAACCTATCACTCCTATCAGGAACTCGAACTCATTACGTATATAATCGCTCCAAGCAAATGGCAAAACTGGAACCACATTAATTTTTCTATGCACATTACCACATAAATCATAATATTTACATTTGATAATTCATTATTCATTTTAATATTTAGACATGGTACATCTTATTTAAGCACAGTGAAATGAATGAGAACATATATTAATGCACTGTTTTCCATTAATAATAATAATTTTTATAATATGGTTTTTAAATTTAAAAATTGACATGTGGCTCTTCTCACAGATCACATATGGCTTGGCTTTGGTTTATATTAATCAAAGGCCAGTCATTGCCATTGGTCTAAAAAAATGTAAGGTCTGTTCTGGTTTTGAGAAATAACGATCCACAACTGTCGGGCTCATGCGCAGTAGATAAAAAGTGTTCTGGTTTTTCTGGGACTACTTCAGATCTCTCAGTCCAGTGTTCTGGTTTCGTATCCGAAATAATCCGTGATTGTTGTAAACAGTCAAAAAGTGTTCATGCTTGGGAGTGTGGATCGACTCGGACTGTTTTGACCGCGCATGCGTTTTTGAAGTGTTATGAATATTGTATTGGCTTTTTAGACTATACGAAACGTATACAATCCCAAATTGTTTATTTATATGTGGACGAATGTCTCTTGTTCTTGTTTTATTTGTAAATTAAAGCAATTTTAGAATTATTAATTTTTTAATATTATTCTGTTTTTATTTATTCCATTGAAATGTGATGATAATGGTAAACATACATGCAAATGTTATTTGAAGCTGAGCTTTCAAAAGGAACTTCATTATTATAATAAACAATAAACAAAACACCTTTATGTGTTCTGGTTTTCCAACAATTTCAAACAGTCGGGGATTTTTTGCCTTTACGCATACAGTCCGGCGCAGTTTCAAAACAGTTTTCATTTTGAGAACCAGAACAAACCTGTAGTTAAAATAGCATATTCATTAAAAGAAGAAATTAATTTCTTTTACTTATTTAACTATTTCGCCTCTTTTGATAAGACTTATTTTTCAATTTTGAATTATTTTAACCGCGGCATATTTCTATTATATCCCGTACCAAGGTTTAACGAGCTAATGGCGTCCTGAGATTTTTTACTACTGCTACTATGCATTATTGGACTTTTACCACAGAAAAAGAAGAAGAAATAGTTTTGTACGTGAGTTAGAGGTTATGTTCTTCTTTCTAACGTCTCATATTTTCACATTTTGCTCCTATTTCATTATTTCATATCGTATTTAAAACAGTGATTCTAATTAAACATATTGTATTATTAGTCAATATATAATTTCATCAAAAATGGTAGTATGGCTATATCCTTTTTTATTTTATTTTATTATCATTATACCTATTTTAGCCAAAAATTAAACAAATGGAGAAACTAAAACATCCCAACAGCAGAAAAACTAAAACACTAGTAAAACAAATACAAAAGTAAGTAAATTTGACTACACCATCACCGAGAGATGTATGTTTCAGCAAATAATTAATTTCTAGGCAAAAATCTCGAGAAAAAGGCAAACTTTCCACCAATATAAAACTAAACGTTCAAGGAGAAAAATTCGTATGGTTTAGGGACAAATTTGAACCGGAATGGACAGTTTGCACACCAAATTTACTGGAAGAGTTAATTAAAAAATACTTATCACGTTTTGATGAAGAATTAGAACAAATAAGAATAAAACATTCAATAGGAAATAGAAAGAATAGACAACATGCTAATAGAGAAGATATTATTAAAATGACCGTTAAAAGGGAGTTTGAAGATTTTAATTCTTGTGGAATAGGTAAAGATGAAATATACAGTCTTTCAGATATGCAATAATTTCTTTTTAAGGATAAAATACAAAAGAGAATAATATACTAATCTGATTTTCACAGAAATGAACATTTTAACTAAATAAAGATGATCACAGGAAATGTCAAAGTTCAGAAATTCGGTCATTGCGTATTTCTTAAATGTGTAATTTTAAAACCAATTTCAATTTATGTACTTGTGTTTTTCAATATATGTAGATATAGATGCCTACATGTATCTGTAACTTGTGGAAAGTGGGTTATCTGTTACCCCCTACAGTACTTATGCCTCACTAAGCCCATTGTGCTTTCTCTTAAGTTGATAGGTCCCTCCTAGCTCATCCATGAACCTACAGATTTGATGTAGTTGTTGCCATCAAGAGGTGCTTTTCTTATATCGGCCGGTGTTAGTCAATACTTGCCGATCACAAATCTTCTAATAAATGTATTTTATAATTTTTATATCATCTTCATTCTTTTATACTTGACTACACTAGAAGGATTTTATTTATGAAAGATAAATATACTAAAAAAAATGTTTTATAAACCATAATATACCCTCTCTTTAGTGGTATTTATACAAGAAAAATATATTTAATTTCTTTGTCCTTCAAACGTCCATATAATTTAATATATTTTTTCAGAATTGCCAAACTTACTGGACCCTTTACAGTTTAATCAATTGAAAAATTGGAATGGTGAATTAAGATTTTTACAGAATTTTAAACTAAGGAAATTTAGCAAGAGGACATTAGAAGAGATGCAAAAGAAAAATAAACAGTCTACCTGAAAATAATTCTAATTAGTGAAATTGTAGAAAATATTGAATAAATATTTTTTGTTTTCAAACCTTAATTTAAATATTCCATTGCTACCTAGAAAACATTTGTAGGCTTCAGTAATTTTACAACTATTTTCAATCCAATCATTTAAGTGACTTATTCTCAATGATTTCATCTATAACTTTTCTACATTAAAAAAAAAGGTAGTCGGATATTTATGATTTTCAATATTCTTTTTCTACATTGAGAAAAAGGTAGTAAAATATTTATAAATGACAATGATCTACTCCTCTTAATTTTTATGAAAGAGCGCCTGAAAACCAACATCTGCATTATTCAGTTTAGTAATATTTTAAAATGTAGCTTTATTAATACACATCATCATTTAATATACATACCTACTCTTCTCAATTTTTGCATAATAATGTTTTTACAGAATTGATAAATAGGTATCTAGATCGATCTTTGATTTCTTTTCGTTTATGAAAAAACTAATTATGTCGCCTATCGTAAATAAAAAGTTCCTTATTTCTTTTAAATAAAAATGCCAATTTTTCAATCAATAACAATTTTATGGGAACGTAAGTAAATAGGAGTGCTGCGTGGGTAAAATAACGTCAATAGTTATAATACAAAATATTACTAGAACAAGGAAAATTATTAGAAAAGAATTGCTATATTTGTACTTCATACAACGTTTGTACTATTGACAATAAATAGTGAACTTTTTGTGAGACTTGGCAACAGCGTAATACGTAAAAGTACAACAGTATCATCCACAAAGCACTGTGCTTTGTGGTAGCATCTATTTGATTTGAAATCATAGTGGAGTATTTTTATTCAAAAAATTGTGTTATTATTAATTTGTACAAGAAATGGAACTAATATTTGTTGTTTACAATAGTGGTACCTACAAGGAGATAGCTTAGTTTTTTCATAAACGAAAAGGTCAAACCAGATAATGACACGCTGCATTTTTCCCATTGATTTTCTTTTAGGCTTCTTAGGCATGAGAAAATAAATATCGGAGCCCTCATAAATATATGGCCTCGACTATGCAACTTAAAATTCACCAAAATGTATTATGTGTTGTCTACTTATAGGTAATCACCACCACAGCACGAAATGTTTTTTTTAAACAAATCTGTCAAAAATTTATCATTCTATCAAATCAAAACCGACCTGTACGCAAATAATAAAGAACATTTGGTAAGTAAAATTACCTTCAAAAATAAAAAAGACTATCTGGAATGATATTTCAAAAAGGCTTCTTAATTTCAACCTTATTCTTAAGGTATGTTGCATTAAAATCGAACGGTTTCAAATTATTCAACCTTACAGATAATGATTGAGGTTATGTGTATTTTTTAGTATCTTCCGGCGATACACAGTTACGGCTGCCAAAGAAATGTCTGGAGAGATATCAAGCTTTAATAAAACATCTTCCATTATCCCTGGAGAACAGTCAGTAGCATACGTTACCGCACCAAATGAAGAAGTTGCTAAAAAATTAGCTCATGGTATAGTTTCAAATAAGTTAGCTGCTTGTGTTAATATAATTCCTAAAATCACTTCCGTATACGAGTGGGAAGGAAAAATTAACGAAGATTCTGAAGTACTAATGATGATTAAGACGAGAACCTGCAAAGTAAACAATTTGACTGAATATGTTAAGGCTAACCATCCATACACGGTTTGTGAAGTTATTTCACTACCTATCCAAAATGGAAATGATGCCTACCTAAAATGGATTAATGATGTGGTCCCCATTAATTAGAAATTAGATTTATAGTTTTTTATTGTTACTTTAATGTATTTAAATCTTGAAAGAAAAAAATAATATAATTTTTAGAAGGTGGTTGATATTTTTAACTATTTAAAAAAATATATTTTGAATATTGGAAACCCTTTCCCATCTAGATCTCTTCCTTTGGTTAGATATGCCACATGTATTTTTCGTTTCCACAAAGCCCTAATTTAAATTGCAATTCCTCTGCCCTTTATTTCTATTGCATGCCAAGTTTTCCTTGGCCTCTTTATTTATTTATTTATACATGCTAATACTACAGAATTATTTCTAAAAAGTATATCAATATTAACTAGAATAGCATTATAATAAAATAAAATTTAAAAATATAGTTAAGTGTTGAAATTAATTCAGCAGCTGCACATTCAGGCACATCCTTGAGTTCAAAACTATACTGTTCGACATTTTTTATTTAGTTATACTTACATCATTTGATCTATATTACAAATAGCTTGTTAGAAAAACTTATTCTATACTGATATTCATTTTTTTGCAACCTTACAATTTTCCAAAATTCAAGGGGTATGATGAAAAAATCAACATAGGTAGAAGTGTTCTCTTTTCTATTTCATTGCTTATTGTCTACTTAAATCGGCACCATAAGGGAATATTTTTTATTATTAGTTTTATGCGAAAAGTTATTCCTCATACAAAATTCTGCATGGTCTAAAACTTAAAATAGAACCATCATATATCTCTTTTTTCAGGCTTGTACCAGGTTTGTTAAAAACTATGTAAAGTACCTTTAATTTTAACAATGAAGAACATTCTTATTATGAAAAGTTTATCAGAATTGAAAACTATGGTCAGATATTTAATATTATCCATCTACCATGAAAAAAGATTGAATACTTTTTGGCATAAACACGAATTACATTTAATTTGCAAATAATAATTGCCATTTATACAGCCAGTTACGGAATGCCTTATTTTATGTAACAAATTAATATTTGCGGGACGAGGAGAAGTGAGGTCCCGCAACATGAACGAGTTACATAAAATGGCATTTTGTAACATGATACAATATTTTTTCTAATTTTGACTAGATTATTTATAAAATTGTGTTTTGGTTAAACATTACTGATGTCTAGGCAATCAATATAAGTCGCTGGTGTGAGGAAAATTTGGTCCTTCTTGTAGAAATAACTTGAGAGTTTGAGTAGAAAATGAAGTGTTTTTATTATTCACAAATGAGATACAAAGAATGTTGGTCTTGTAGATAGAACATAGAACTTCTTAACTAATACGTACAATCAATTTGATACTTGCCAATTTGAATTCATTTGCTTTAATATTAACGTGTGTAGTGTCTCGACTGTCGTGCAAAAAGTTTTTTTGTCTTTCTAACTCGTTGTTATAGACCATCTCATTTTATACTATCTGGAGCCATATTGAGTGTCCGGTGCATAGTTGAGGCAATAGATCTTTTGTACAGTAGTGGGAGGTGGTTCTGGCGAATGAGGTGCTTCATGACATAAGAAATACTTCACTTGGGGTGCGTTAGCTATGCGCCGGACACTCATAAGGTCCCTTTTCTAAGAACTGCTTGAGAGAAAGAGAGTGAAAGTGTGTGAGACGTGAGTTAATTGTGCTGAGAAAGATAGACTATAAAAAACGTGTTTGTCAAGTATTCACTGATAATTATAAATGTTTTAGCGAAACTGGGCCGTATTTACACGTGCAGATGGTTATTTTCTGTTATTTTAAAAAGTTATTTGCGATTTATGATTTAACATTAAGATTAAAAGAAAAATAAAATATTTGATAATTTTGTTGTTTAATAAACGTAGAAGTGAAATATTAATTTGATATTTTTCTGGTAAATTTATAGAATTTAATCAATAACAATTTTCAGTATTGTTAAAAATAAAGGATTTTGCACTTTTTCGACAAACTTCGGACATGACTAAAAAACTGATATCTGATGGTTGTACCTATTTTAGGTTTAATACACCATGCAGAACTTTTTATGAAGAATATTAGCCTTTTAAAAGTTTCCCAACTTAAGTATAGTTATTAAAATCACTGTCGGGGCATTAAATAATTCCTTGTACTATATGTTCATCGGAGGTGAACTTTTTGTTAAGACCCAACCATGCCCTAACTCAACTTTTTTCTTAAGGCTATATGTCACGATACTAAATTTAGAACTAAATTAATGCATTTTTTAAGTACTACAAAATTCACGTTAGGTCTGTTCCAACACGAGCTAAAACCGCAATAATGCCGTACAAATCGTGAGCTCTACCCATAGAAATAATAGCTCTACCCAAAAATTGTATACAGCGCATGATTTGCACGGTAATATTACGGTTTTCAGGCGTGTTGGGGCAGTAAATTTATTACTAAAAAAATAATTAGAACTTGTTCTATTTTCTACTAATTTTAGTACTAAAAATGCGTCGAAATGTTGCACAGAAAAAGTTGACACAACGGTCTCTTCTGTACAATTTTGTTTTTGGTTAGTGACAATTTTGCATTATCACCTTGGATAAATTTCGCTTGTTTGATTTTGTAGGTTTTATTGTTTTTTCGTGGTTTTTAGTAGCATTGGTGTATTTGGTGTTAAAAACACCTTTTACTTCACTTATCTATTTTACTCAGAATATTTAATTTCTGTGCTAATTTCACGTATTAATACGTCAATGCGCGTGCGCCTATACTTAGAGTATGGTCCGTTATTGACCGACTACTAACCGCAAGGAACCAGGATTTTTGACAGTGGTCCCTGAAATTATAAAATATAATTGTTATTTATGTTTGGAGAAAAAATTGTTCAAATAAAAGTTACTTCTAATATTAGTATATATCACAGACATTAACTAAATGTCTTTGGTATATGGGTGAGATTACAGAACGTCTGCAACTTTGCAGATCTGCAAATATGGCGGAATTACATATGCATATATCAAGTTTTCGTATTCCAAAAAAGATCTGCAAATTTGCAATATTTATTATGGATTACCCCCAACAACACTAAACCCAAATACATAACTATGTTTAAAAACTCGATAATCTGACACCATGAACTGTATTCAATCAAAATAAATAGACGACTTCATGGTTGTAGGATGTTCTAACCTTCTTAAAGGTGGATTTGAATTTAGTGTTGTTAGGGGTAATAAATATTGCGAATTTGCAGATATTTTTTGGATACTTGCATCTGCAAGTCCGCCATATTTGCAGATCTGCAAAGTTGCCGCCATATTTGCAGATCTGCAAAGTTGCAGACGTTCTGTAATTTCACCCTATATCGATAATTTTTGCTTTATGCCAAATTTTCCTGTAATGGTCCGTATTCGAGAAATGTGACAAAATTCTGATTTTTAAGAAAATTGTTAAACTAAAAGTTGTTTGCGATATCGATCTCTATAATTTTTGTTTTTACAGGGACCGTAATGGAAAAATTGGAGGAAAAGTGCTCAATTTACATTTTTCAGTATTTTCGTTTTCATTGAATATCTATAGAAAAATGTTTCGAGTTAGATGTATGTGGAAAATGTATATATTTAGTTTATCCTCTAAACATTTATAGAGGTGCTGCACATCAGATTTTTAGTACTAAATTAATAACTTAATTTAGTTCTTAATTTAGTATCGTAACATAGAGTCTTTAGGTTAGAAAATTTCGAATTATCGATTTTTCATTCAAAATTCGAAGTAATACAAGACGGTCACTTTAAATTTCTATATCTCATAGAAGTCAACAAATACGTAACATGATGAGTTTAATAAAATATGTCTCGAATTAACACGGTTGCAAATTGGCGCTACTTCATCGACAGTACATTTTTAAATCTTAAAACAAATTTCCTGAAATAATTAGGCAAAAATAAAAGAGTGTATTTTGCGTTTTAGCTTTTGAATACTATAAAAAATGGTGGAAAGTCAATAACTTTTAAATATTTGTTAAATATCACTTGCATTAAAAGTAAAACAAACTATAGACTTTCCTCCATTCTTTACCGTACTCTGAACCCATTTTTAAAAACAATTTCTGAAAATATTATCGTTCAGAGCTGTATTTTTGTGATAAAAAAGTCGCCGTCACTTGTCATTGACAATGCGTTGAGATTGAACTTAAATAAAACTACAAAATTACTTTCTTAATTTTTTTATTGACTATGAAAATTTTTGATGTGAGTTAAAAGAGAACCATTTTGTGAAAATTCTTTGGAACAAAAATGACATCGATATGGCTTCTGACCAGAGTGGGTATGTAAGTGGTTTTTCAGTGTCTTAGAATCGAAAAATTTTTGAAGGCATATCATGCACTCATGTTTCCTGTCATTACTGTGAGTTTTCATGTGCCCCTGGAAATGAAAAGTTATTTAAATTATAAAAATAGAACAAAATAAATAGTAGTGTTACTATTGCTGCGTTTGTGAATCCACATCGGATGCATCTGAGATGTAAAAAATCTTTGATCACGTGATGCAGTATACGTAAATGTAATGGGACAGATGTGTCCGATGTGGATAAAAAAACGCTAGAGATGTAAAAAATGCATCCGATGTGGATTCTCAAACGCAGCATAGACTCGAACAATTTTTAAATGATGGTGACTAATCTTGCAGAATGCAATGTGGTCAACCGGCAACAATGTAATTTTATTATTTTCAGAGCCTAACTTACTGGGATCATTTTACCGTTTATGCTTCGTCAACGCGAAAATTTAAAAAGTGAGATTATTCCATAATATTTACTCGTACAAATATTATATCTAGCCAAGTCAGGTAAATACTTTGAATCAGCGTTAAACTCGTCGATACTAAGGTCTACTGGGAAGGCTAACAAACCAGTTAGGAGTTCTTTATACGCCCATTATATAGTGACTTTTTTGTTATTAATAGCTTAATGATATTATGGGTATATAATCTGTATTTTAATCGTCAAATTTACCAATTTTTTAGGTTTTTTATTTATCATTTCTTCAAAAATAATTTTGATGTTTGGTGAAATTATACCTTTGTATATCTTAAACGCTTGAAATTGACAGTCTGGTGTCTAAATTGATGCGCACCGACTGTTTTTTTTTCCACCCATATCAGGAGTGGGGTTTATGACATAAAGCCATCCAGTTTAATATGAAGGTAGGTGGTCTAACTGGGTAAAAAAAGAGTGCACTCTAGACTAATTTGACTCGATTTTCTGAACGAGAGTAACTAAATGTCTAAATTGAACGCTCGACTGTTCTTGAACGAACCAAGTTCAAATTGATCACACTTTTTCTGGTTGGAGCGTGTTTCCTGAACGCGCTACTGTGAAAAGGCCGTGGCGCGGCGCAAAGTTTGGGAATTACAAAATGTTTAGGAAAACGAGTTTATCGATCAGATACAGCCATTGGATACAACCAAAAGCAAATGAAATTATTTTTTATAACAATCATTATTGATAAATTTTGTCAAAAGAACTAATATTATTTATCTGCTAGAGTTCCATTAGAACATCTGTCTTCTACCTCGTAGTCTCGTACAAATTTCATAAGTCAACTTGGCAAATGGCAACACAGCTGATAGCCAGTGTTGCCAGGTCTACCAATTTTTCAGTAGATATATTGATTTGGCCATTGGTTTACTGATATACTGATAAAAATGTGAATTCTACTAAATAAAAGCCGTTTTCATAATTATTATTATTATCATCCGCTTTTTGAGATTTTTTTCAAATTATAATCACATATTTAAAAAAAAATTCAAAAGTCATAAAAAATCACAGCTGTTTTTTATAACTTTCTAGGGAAATTCTAGGGAATCCCCTGAGTTCATTGCTTGCGTGTTGTGTTTCGAGTTACATAGGCATGCAGTGTACGCTGTGGTATGGTATATAAAAATTAAAAATTGTGGTTTTCTGGCTGGTTTTTTACTGTACAATCAACCAAAGAAATAAGCTTTCTACGGCGAGTATTGTTGGCAATTTTCATGTAAGAACTTACTCAAGGAGTAGAAATGCGCTTAATTAAAAAAGCATGTACAAAAAAAAAAGATAATGAATTAAATGATTCCGATTAGAATATTATTTTTTTTAGTGTTTAAGTGTTTATTTTTTGAATTATTTTATTTTTTAATATGTATATTGGTAATGTTGTAGTTGAAGGGTCTGGAAATGCGCCAGTCCGCACCATTGCTGTTCCGGCTAGTTCTGTCAGTTGGAATCCTTACATAGTTACCAGGTTATATTTAATTATTTGGAACCAGGGAATAAGCAGATTGAAATAACTATTTTACTTTTAATCATCTATTTACCAATTTTTACATCGATTAAAAATCCCATAAAAATAAAAAAATTCTAAAGATTTTCAAGTAATACGATCGTTATTTTTAATGTCAATAATACCTTTTAATAGTGATAATTACAAAATTTAAATTTAAAATCTATCAAAACTGTCTTATAAAACAAAACAGAATTGTTATTTCAAAATATAATATAAATCTTTATATTTATTTATCATACATTTTAATTTACAGAGGTTACAATTTGTCTAAATAATAAACTATGAAATAAAGCAAGCTAAAATAAAAGTGGAGATTTGGCAACGTGGCTTGAGCAAATTCAAATTCTGGACGTCAGTGCAGAGTAGTGTGAATATGCGCATTTCTAGACCCGTCAACTACAACATTACCGTAATATTTATTTTTTATTTTCAATGTGATGTCCCATTTCTTAATAAACTATTTTTTAAATACCTAGTACTTATTAGTGTTTGATTTTCTATTGTTAATTTAATTAGGTTGTTAATTTTTATAGTTTAACAATCTAATGAGTCAAAACAGTTTAAAATACGTATAATTAATATTTACGCTAATCGGAAGAGAAGCCACTGCAACGTTAAAAATTTTTTTGCCCCTTTAATTAGGCAACTCATTTGGCTACTGAATTTTAAGACAGGCAGTATACTGAAAAAAAATTTTATGACCTGGCAACACTGCTGACAGCTGTTATATTTATATTTTTATGTAAGTAAAATAAGGTTAAGGTTGAAAATGTTTAATTTCTTAAAAAAGAAATCCACTGAAAATGAAGAACAAAAACAAACTATTATTACACCTTATAGTGCTGCAGACATTACGGAATTAAAAGATACGATTTATGATGTGATAAGAACGATAAAAGATCCCGAAAAACCAAACACACTGGAACAACTTGAAGTGGTTTATGAAGATGGAATCATGGTAAGTCAGCCAAGAACAAGTGAATTTTTCGTTGTAAGAATTGAATTTAATCCGACAATACCACATTGTTCTTTGGCCACATTAATAGGATTATGTATCAGGATAAAAGTTGAGAGGAATATTCCGAATCGCATAAAATTGGATATATTTATCAAAAAAGGGGCACACGCTACAGAAGAAGAAATAAATAAACAAATAAACGACAAAGAAAGGATAGCTGCTGCTATGGAAAATCCTAATCTAAAAGAAATGGTTGAGAATTGTATTATGGAAGAGGACTGTTAAGTTGTTATAATGTAACATTTCTGTATGTCAATTTTATAGTTTAATCAGGACAATATCTATTTTCCACTAATTGTTATTGTGTTGCCACCAAAATGGAACATGAACACTTGTTTCAAATAGTATACAGATTTTTGTGTAGATTTGGTGTAAGGTTAGTTTTCAATCAAAAAATAGTTTTAGTAGCATTCTAAGAATTTTGTACCTATACTTGAATCCGTAAATAATAGGCAATAATTTAATGTCTGGAATGTATGAAGAATGATGATAGAGTTGCCATATATGCAATTACAATATATGTATGTCATTGAGAAAGTATTCTTGCCCCATAACTTCCAAAAACTTCTCTTAACTTTAACAATACAATATTCTTAACGCATCAAATGTCTATTACTTCTAAATGCAATATTATAAGTAAACATTTTGTGAAATACATTTCTAAAAGATGGTTTTTAATAATTTAAATATATTCATTCAAATCACGATTTGAAGCTTACCTAAAATGAGGTGTCTAAAGGTAATAAATAACAGTTTATTTGTATCAATTGTTTGGCAGTTGTTTTTATGTATTAAAATATTTTATTGTATGATAGGTTTTTATAAAAAAGACTGGGATTTAATCACAAATATATATTTATCTAAAATTTATTAGTTTTATTTCTAATTCTTTTATTATTATTTCTCTTACATAAATTAATACGTTTTAAAATAGACTTCTGAAATCTTAAATTTAATTAACTTGCATGTTCTTCTTGAAAATTCTAGGTACTCAGCACCTTTCTACTTGCCCACTTCTAAGACTAATATTTTAAAATATACTCCTTTCAATTTTATATGTAATAATTATGATCCTTTGCAAGATAGTAATAAATAGTTTAAAATTTTTAATTGTTCAATAAATGTAATAAAAAATAGTCTATCCTAAAATTATTTCAAATAGTGTTTATACGTTCTCTGCATACGTGGTCACCTCTTTTTTTACCTACCAGGATTTTTTTAGTTATCACATATACATTTGAAATAGTTATAGTGATATAATGTATTTGTTTAATTTTTCTAGTTTTTAATACTAGTCACTTTAAACTTGTTTCCTATATTTTTATGTATTAGAATAATAGATTCTGTAGTTTTCCCACTTTGTAAATGGAAAAACTGTTAAAGTGGTATATGTTAAATAATACAGGGTGATTCATAACTATTGGGGCATAGGCTAAGGGCAGGTTATTTAGACCAAAATATGGCGATAGGGCCAAATATCCCTTAATAAAATATTGCTGTGGAATAAGATTCAGTTGAACAATAGACTATAATTGCACAACAACAATAATTCACTTACAAGAAATGACAATTATCTGACAGTCCAAAGCACTCTGAGCTGGTGCAAATAAACCCAAGTTTCATTCAAAACATAACCTTGATGCTTTTTATCAGAATGTATGCAGACTAAAACTAATTTAAATGTTTTTCAATCAAATGTATCTGCAAATTGTTATTCCATCATCATATTGATTGAAACATGGCTGACCAGTGATATCAGCGATGGCGAGTTGGAATTGTTCGATTATAATATTTACCAATGTCATAGAAGCCAAAATACAAGTAACGCTTTAAGAGGTAGTGGTGTGCTCATTGCTGTATTGAAGACTTTCACTAGCTCCATGCTAGACACCCCTAGTGTTATTGAACAACTTTTTGTTAAACTTGGATCAGGTTCTGATGCAATAATCATCGCTGCAGTCTATATACCACCTCGCTCTCCAATAAATAAGTACCAGTGTTTCAGTTCAACAGTGAATGTCATTATTGAAAATCATAAAGGATCTGTTAGGCTTTGTGGAGACCTAAATATGCCATATTGCTCCTGGTCAACTGAGGAATACTGCCCAGTACCTACAGTGACAGTGGGGGAACAAATCATATGGGAGATGTGCTCACCTTAATGGGTGATACCTGTGCATTTCATAATTTATCAGGTGAATAAAGTTCCTATTAACAGTGGCAGAATACTAGATCTTATAATATCTACAGATGGAAACACTATAGTGATCTTGAGCAATGAAGCATTGGTTCCAGCTGATGGCTACCATCCTCCTTTGAGCTTCCAGATTGTGCACTCTTTGAATCATTTTAATGTAAGAGGTCCCAGAAAGACATTTTTTATTATGATTTTAGGTCGGCTGATTTATCTCTGTTGAACGATTGTTTAGGTCAAGTAAATTGGGATGACTTATTATTACATCACTCAGCGAATGATATGGTTAAATTTTTTTATGATATTCTCTATTTTTTTATCCATGCTATAATTCCACAGAAAAAAGCATCCAAAAGAAAATTTCCATTACGGTTCTTCCCAGAGTTAAAGCAGCTGACAATATTGAAAAAACAAGCTCACAAACAATGTAAAAGTTCAGGATTACAAAGCGACTATGTCAACTATGGTAAATTACGTTCTGATTGTAAAACTTTATCAAAATTGTGCTATCGACAGTTTATTGTAAATTCTGAGTCTTCTTTAACATACCATGGAAACATAAAACAGTTTTAGAATTTTGTTAAGAGTAAGCGGAACGGGAATGATTTACCACCATTGCTATTTCGTCATTTAATCACATTTCTATATCTGAGTATGTTATTCCTATATTATGTTTTTCCAACCATGTATGAAGAGATGGCTAGTATTGACATTACCAAGGAACCAGGACCTCATGGTATCCCCCCTTCTGTTCTCAGATTTTGTAGTTTTGTTCACTCACGGCCACTTCACATTATATTTAATAACATTATATATAAGTCTCTTGCTTCGGGCATATTTCCAGATTTCTGGAAAGTGAGCTATCTTACACTTATTTTCAAGTCTGGTAACATAGCAGGCATATCCAACTGTAGACCCATCTGTAATCTTAGTTTCATTTCAAAGTTGTTTGAAAAGATAGTAGCTGATTACTTAAGATATAAGTTTATCAATAATAGAAGAACAATTTGGGTTTCTTAACAAAAAATCTACGAAACTAAATTTACTTGATTTTGCTGACTATCTGTCGGACGTCTTGGACGGAGGTGGTGAGGTGCATGTCATATACACAGACTTTTCCAAGGCGTTCGACAGGATCAATCATAAACTTTTGTTAAATAAACTGGAGACTGCTGGGAACATTATTGCAATGGCTGGCGAGTTATTTATTTGAAAGATTCCAAACTGTTAAATTGAATAATTACTTGTCTAAAAACATTTCCAATCTATCTGGAGTCCCCCAAGGGTCCCATTTGGGACCTTTATTATTTAAAAATGATTTCTCAGAATGTTTCAAGTTTGCCAAATTTGTATGCTTTGCTGATGACCTAAAGTGCTTCCTAGCAGTTTCATCTCTTGAGGATTGTCTCAAACTTCAGTCTGATCTGGCTAGGCGGCTTGATAAGTGGTGTGCGAATAATGCTATGGACCTAAACATCACTGTCATTCCATATCCTTTACTAGGAAGATCAACAGGATTATCAATATAATATCAAGGGTACACCAGTGTCCCAAGTTGCATCCATTCGAGATTATTCTCGAATGTCTGTTAAAAATGTCGCATTCGTCATAATGTCTACTACTAATGTCTATCAAAATGTCGATCGACTGACACTATCCGTATTCTCAAAGACAAATAGACATTTTAAAATCGGTGGTGAGATATTTGGCGAATGGTAACATCTGACAACATTGGATAGAAACATACAATACGAGTATATTATAGCAGACAATTACTTGAAGGATCTCTTAGTAATACAAAATAATACTGAAAATATATTTCGAATATATATCTTTCTAATTAGAAAGTAGAGAAAATATAATATAATCTTTTTAACTGAAATTTCATAAGGGATTAAATAGAAAATTGGAAGTGCAATTTGGTAAGAGATTAAATAGAAAGAAGAAGAAATATATTATTATAATATAATCTAAACACTATATAAAAGGATTATGATATCTTTTTCCCTTCAATTTGAAAAAATGAAGCTATATAAATTTCTTAATGATAGGGATTAAATCTCTTGGACAGCAGGAATAATGATTGATAAGTTAGGTGAAATTGTAATAAATCAAATTTTTTTAAAAACATTTATACAATACATATTTTCATTTCTCTTAAAAATAAACATAAATTATCACTGTCACAACAGTCATATTGTAAAAAGGTATGCGACATTAAAATGTCGACTGGTTGAATACCACTCGACTTTATATGTCTAACAGCAAATGTCGAATTCGCCATTTGAGAATACGTTTTTGCGTTCTTGTTCGACATATCGTCTATGTCGCGTGTAACATTTAGAAATAGACATTCGAGAATAGGGCTCCTCTGGGTGTTATTATAGACTCCATGCTCTCATTTGTCAATCACAGCTCTCATTTGTCAATCGCATTGACACAATAGTATCCAGAGCACTTGGGATGCTTGGGTTTATAAAGAGAAACACATCAGACTTTACAAGTATTAATGCTATCAGGTTATTGTTCTGTAGTCTTGTTAGGCCTCTGCTAGAATATTACTCTTCAGTCTGGAACCCCCAATATACTTGTCACATTCATAGATTAGAACAGGTTTGGTGTACATTTCTTCGCTACTTAGCATTTGAATCAAATATTCCACGGAAAGATGAACATTTCCTATGATTTTGCGACACGGCAAGAGATATTATCCTTACCAACTTTGAGAATAAGAAGAAATCAGGCAGATCTGAAAGTATTTTTAAGGCTCATTAATTATATGGTAGACTGCCCTACATTGATTTCAAGCATGTTGTTGGCAGCCCCAACTAGAAGCACAAGATCAATAAACAGTTTTCATCAGCCCTACATGAGAACTAATACCGGCCTCAATTCATTCATGCCTAGAGTTTCACGAAACGCTAATGCTTGTGCTGATAGCATAAAATTTTGTGAGGCTGTTAAAACTTACTGTGACTTAAATTCTCTAGTCTTAATATTAGTTGTTTCGATTTTGTACATGTTAATATATTTATGATTTTTGTTAGTAGTTTATCATTATTATGACATATTATTTAGATTGACTTTATTTGAGGTTTTTTTGCTTTTATTTGTAACTTTGTACTGAAAGTGGGCAAGGCCCATGAATAAATAAATAAAAATAAATTGCGTTTTTCTCGAAAATGGGTGACATTATCGTATTTCGACAAAACTACCAATATTACGTAGAAATGGTGATTACATCACATTTTGTAATCAAAAACATTAAAAAGTTTCGTCAAAAAAAGATACCACTTAATTTTATCATCAGGAATCATTCACGTTGCGCTCCCTGTAACAAAATGTGAAATAATACATAAAATAATATTCCTTAATTATCCAAAGTTATGCCTCTGTGCTTATTTTGATAACAAAATGTGAAATACGAAAAAAAAATATGAAATACAAAAAAAAAATACATAAATATAGTGACAACATTTATCAGAAAAAAAATCAACATTAACCCCATATAACTTATTCCACAGCAATATTTTATTAAGGTATATTTGGTCCAAATAACCTGCCCATAGCCTATGTCCCAATAGATACGAATCACCGAGTATATAGCCAAATTGATCACTCACCGATCATATCCAGAGACTTGGGAATAACTTTTTTTTATAAAATCGATGTTAGTCCAAGCGGTGGGTAAAGAATAAGGGGGTCTATTCGCAAAAGGTCGGAAAGAAATGAAATATGGTGGGATGGTAGAAAGGGGTCCTCTGATACTACACCTAAGTTTGCGAACTCGGGGGGTTGCCGTTCGAGGGAAGGAGGGATGAAAACTCTGCGTCGTGACGCTTTTCGGGAAATAGCGCCGTTGTGGTAAGTGCTATCGAAAAAAAGTTCAAAACATCATACTGTTTATTATTTACAACAAAATGTATAAAATCGGGCACCTGCAGACTCTGAAATCATTACTCTTTTAGAAAAAACATATTACATCATTGTTTCATAGCCATCTTCGTCTTAATCCGCGCTGAAATTCTCATTTTGTTGAACATTGCAAATCAACCACCTACTTTGGCGCGTCGTACAGCGGGAACTATTGGTCGCAGACAAAAAAATGTAGAGGTCAAAATTGTGAACGATTTTGTCATGTACATATTTCATTTGAACTTTTTTTCGACAGCACTTACCACAATGGCGCTAGTTCCCGAAAAGCGTCGCGACGCAGAGTTTTCATCGCTCCACCCCTCGAGCGGCAACCCTCCGAGGTCGCAAACTTAGGTGTAGTACCATCCCACCAAATTTTATTTCTTTTCGACCTTTTGCGAATAGAATAAACCACCCACCGCTTGGACTATGTTTCTCAGATAAAGAAAAATACCAAATCAGACCAATAAAGTCTTAATTTGTTATAGTTAGCAAATCAAAATTACTACTTATATAAATTTTAAATTGGGCGACTGGAAATAATTGTTTTTATCTTTAAAACCTTGGTACTTACTCGTAAGTGGCTAGCAGCTACGTATTTCTTTGAACATATCGCACATGTATATGGTCTTTCTCCAGTGTGATATCGCAGATGAGTATCTCTAGTTTCCTTACGTCTAAATGATCTACCGCATTGCCAACAGGGATAAGGCTTCTCTCCAGTGTGAATCATACTATGTTTTTTTAATTGACTATTAGCTACAAATAACAGCGTTTGATTATTTATTTACGGACAAATACAATAAAATAGTGCTAACATAGAAAATAGGAAAAATAATTTACATAACATAATCTTAAAATATGTTACATAAAACAGTAGTGTTACTAATAAACAGACAATTAAATATAATAAATACAAATAAAGAATAGGAGATTACACATGACATTCAGATTTTGAATTTGAGCAAGTGATTCTTAAATCTCTGAAAAATTTAGATATAAACAAAACAGAAGGTGGATGATGTGCTTAAGAATATAATTATTATTTTAATGCTATTGAATGGGACTATTGTAAGAAAATAATAATCAAATATAACACAGGATGATGTTCCGTAATGACGTACTAATATTTCAGGATTTGATTCCTCCACGTTATTTTATGAAGAAATATTTTCGTTGTAAAACATAATAAAATCTGATTTATATAAATATTATTAACTAGTTTATAATTATTGTCAAAACCTATTATATAAAAATAATTTTTACACTTACTCGCAAAAGACATTTTACAAAAATCACAAGTGTACTGTTTAATTCCTGTATGAATTCGCATATGCGCCACTAATTTTGAATTCATAGTAAAATTTTTCCCACATATGTTACATATATGAGGTTTATTTTGTCCTAAAACAAAAACCAAATTTGAATGATATAACTTGTATATTGTAAAAACGTAAAATTGTTTATACCCGTGTGATTACGTATGTGAACATTTAAATGCGACGATTGGCTAAATTTTTTATTACATATATTACATTCGTACTTTTTCTCGCCATTATGTATATTTTTATGTTTGTGCAGAGACGAAGATAATGCAAAAGTCCTTCCGCAAATATCACAACTCAGAGGACGTTCTCCTGTATGTATCCTCATATGAACTGATAGAAGTTTGTTTTGTCTGTATCTAAAATCAATTCAATACGTCCATTTTATTCAAATAAATAAACTATAGCATGTACCTTTTTCCGCAAATATTACAGCCAAATTTTTTTTCAACGTCTATTCCATGTACAGTTTCAATAAAATGTATTTCCTTTAAGTGCTTTTTCAAACATCTGGTTTCTGTGAAGCATATCTAAAAAATATATAATATACATAATATTTAAAAAAAAAACCTATTCTATTATTCAAGCTAAATTTTGATGGTCTTTAGAAAATATAAATTTTGTTATAACTTACATGGCACCTCAAGTTTTTGGAAACTTTTGTATGTGGATGATTTAAGTGACTTTTATCATTTACAAATGTATGTTCCAGAATATGCTTATTTAATTCATTGGAATCGTCACAGATTTTATCGCATATGTTGCAAAAAAACTTATTTTGCACAGTGTGATTTTTAATATGATCAGATAAAGACCATTCATCTAAAATTAATTAAATTTGGTCAATCTATATTGTATACGATTTTATCTAAGTTGTAAATTTATTTACAAAAACAATAACTTCCTGGCCCTGGTGGAATAATTCAAACCGTAAGCATCCAATGATCCAGACTATTGTGACGAAGTCACTAAATTTTATTTTTAGGTAATTTTAAAAATGTATATTTTAATTAATTCCCGCCTGAAGACATGTAGAAGATCCCCCCGTATTTGTGTTTCCCAAGAATTCCCGTTTTTAAACAATTGCGAGAACCCTCCTAGGTTAAAACATTTCTATATTTGCCGAAATCCGAATGGGCATTTGTAGAATCGATTTCGTATCAATTATCTACTTGTATTTGTCAAGGTACTAGTAGGACATTTTTTTTATTTTTAAATTGTAAACAGTCGGCTGTAGTGGTGGTACCTCCCACTCCGGATTACCGGTCTTCAAGCTTGCCTATGGACAAAGCATAAATTAGCTGACAATTGGGAATTTGCCTCTTTGATTTCCAGCCACCGTAGGCTCTTCTCTTTTGTTACCGACGAGTGACGAATCCATATAGTGACCGTGCAATTGATAGTCTACTGAACGACCCCCGTTTATTTTTTTAAGGAAGGAAACCAATTATTTTTTTTGCAATTAGTTTGGGACACCCGTCCGATAAGTGAAATAATTTTGATTCATGTTCAGTATTTTCATTTCATCCCTTAGTGGTAAACCGTTGGCAATTTTTTATTTGAGACTGGATATAGGCTAGACTGTGAGTGTATTTCGTTTCGACGACTCTATCCAATCTCTTTTAAGAAGCGCCCAGTTAACACTGGAGTGAGAGGTTCAACCCGTTTTCTTTTTTTATTATTATTATTATCTTTGGGAAGCCGCCCAATTCATTTTCTTTTTCGGAGGTTTGATCCGTCCTCGAGTTACGAGTGTACTCTATCTCGACGACGTTATCTAATTTCCCAAAAAGACGTCTAAAATAATTTTCGCACCTCACTTCATGTAAGCTTCTTTTTTTATTTATTTATTCAATTTTATTTGAATCATTCCATTTTTCTATCTTCTATCTATCCTAATTCACACACCGTTTTGATCGGCTTTGGCAAATCTCAAAATAATTATTACTTTAGCCACCGCATATTTCGTCCAAACACCGCGTCGGTGGCCGGTTCGTCAAACGAGAATAATATTTACCACGACGATCGGTCAGAACTAGGATACAGGAGGGGTTCCGAAAACTTTATTCAAATTTATAGGAGACTTACATTGTAGATGGTTTAACTGTAGTCATAGTAAACTTCATTTTTCTAATATAGGGAGTGTCGTAACTACCCGTTTTCTTTTATTTTTTTGAACTTCTCAGTTGGTCAACCGTATAGCTAAAAATTAATTACTCCGTTCTAATTAATTACCGTTTTATTTTTTTTATTATTATGACCAGAAAATTTAATTTTGTTTATTGGGAAAATATACTTTCTATATACCGTATTGTACATAATTTCCGACTTAAATATTTTTCCAGTACTAGTAGAAGGTAATACGTACTTTAATTTCATTTAGTGGAAATTTTAGTGTTATTTATTGTATTAAGTTTATTTAAAATTTATTTTCTATATATATCGTCTTATAACTTTGATTTCATTTGTTTTCTTACATTTTTGTTACCGTCATATTTAATCAATTTTTATTAATAAAAATTGATTTTCCGTATACAGAGAGTTTCATAAGTTCCGGAACGATTAGCCTCCTGTGCTATCGAACCGCAATCATTTCCCTATAGTTTTTCAGTTTTAATAATTTATTTATTTTTATTAAATTTTCCGTATATAGGGAACCATAATTATTTAACTATTTTTCAATTGTAATAATTTATTTTTATTTAATTTTCCGTGTACAGGGAAAACCGTAATGGTTTTCCTATGGTTGTTAATTGTAATAATTCATTTTATTTAATTTTCCGTTTACAAACGTGCCAAAACCGTGCATGGGGGTGGGTGGCTCAGTGGTAGAGTCTCTGCCTGTGGATCCAAGGGTCCCAGGTTCGAATCCCACCGTTGGCCGGGATTTTTTCATTTAATTTAATTATTTAAAATTAATTCTGATGCCTTGGTAGGATTCCCCACTCGACCATTCACTGTTGGGTTCTAATTAACAGTGCTGTTCCAAAAGTGGCGCTGGGAAACAGTAACAAAGCCTACACCGAACACGAGGCTAATAACCGTAGTAGTTGATGCCGATGACACCAAAAAAAAAAACCGTGCACTACCACGGTTGTATTTTTTTTCTGTAAATATATATTTTATTACCTACTCCTGCGTTTCTCTTATTGCTGGTTCTTAATCGTTTTCTTTCAGGGTACCGTAGGGTAGGAGGTGTAAAGGAGATAAGTTTTTTTATTTATTCTAGTTTGGTGGCTACCTAGTTAGCAGTGACCGCCTGGAAATATTTTAACTCCACTGAGTATACCTTGAGTACACTCTGGTGTACTACAGGGTCGCAGAGCAAACTGTGTTACCAAAACTGGCGCCTGAGCAGCCCCTATTCGGGAATCACCATCTTAGCGCCACAGGCTCCCTGATTCACTTTAGGTGAACCAGAAGCCTGTCATATTATACAACCACTGAGTCACCCACCTCCATTGTCACTTTCATTGAGGATTGGTACTCAAGATGCACTTTCAGAAGTTTTATCATTAATTTTTTAAATGTTTTCTTAAATTTTTATTTATTAATCGGACAAATAAAAAATGTGACTAATGAATTTTTATAAATAAGTAGAATGTTAACTGAAATATGTGTTATAACATCGACAAATAAGTAATTAATTGTATTATAAAAAAGAGATATGTATTGGTGTACGTTAAATCATGAAAAAGTTTAAAATTATAAAATAATTAAAGATAATAAGGCAAAACGTATTGGCAAAAGGAGGATAACAGAAAGGCCCTTTGTGAAAGAAGTTCTGTCGTGCCCAAGAGAATTAACTTTCTAAGAAAATATTCTAAATTTAAAGAAGAAGGGGCGAATTTTACATATTTAGACGAAACATGGATATTTTCTAGGATTGCAACCAAGAGAATATGGCAAGATGATAACGTAAAGTCCATCAAACATGCCGATGGAGAAGGGAAGCGACACATAATTTTACATGCAGGAGGGAAATCGGGTTTTATAGAATGTGCTGATTTAATATTTTCATCTAAATCAAAATCCAGTGACTATCACGATAATATCAACACAGAAATGTTTGTAAGATGGTTGCATGAAAAACTTCTCCCAGGTTTAAGTGAGCCCAGCGCAATTATTTTAGACAATGCACCTTACCATTCTGAAGTATTAAACAAAAGTCCAACGAATTCTTGGGCTGTTGATAAAATTAAAGAATTGTTGACAAAGGAACATATACCATTTCCTCAATATATATTAAAATCAGAATTATTACGCTTGGCAAAACCAAAAACCTTTGTATTGAAAGTTACGGTCATCAAGTTTTACGTCTGCCACCGTATCATTGCCAGTTTAATCCCATCGATTATATATATGGGGAATAGCAAAACAATATTATGACAACCAGATTGGGCCTAATGGTTATAGTGACGACGCAGTTCGGGAAACTTGGCGAAAAGCACTTTCAATTGCAACTCCAGAAGTGTGGCGGAACTGTATATCTAAGTGCGAGAAACTAATAGAAGATTGTTGGACTCGTGAAAATAAAATAAACGAAATAAGTCCAATCATAATAACAATTAATGGTGATGACAGTGATGATGATGATGACTATTATGATATTTTGGATGATAATGACTGATTTTCATTTTTGTTGGCAAGTTCAATTTTTTTATTTTTCATTTAAATTCTCTACATTGTACAAATTTTTATGTTAGAAAATATTTTATTTGAGGTAAATAATTATCTTATTATACATAGACCATATTTTTTGTGTGAAGTGTAATATAAAATTATTATTATTAGGTTTATAATAACCACATTAGACTCCATTAATGAAGAAGTTTAATTCTGCTCTCAATTATACAAAAGATTCTCCAATATTATTTAATTAAAAAGTTGTACATTATTTTTCATTTCATTTAACCAGTTGATATTTCCCCAAAGAATAGGTCAAACTTTTGGGTACTTACCTGGAAATACTCATAAAATTTTTAATCCGAAACCCGCTTAAGTATAGCGAACAGACTGTAGTAATAAAGTTTCAATAAAACGTTATGATAAGATCATATAAATAATACTGCAGAAATTTGTATATTTAGTGAATATTTTGCAAATTCAATTAAAACAAGGGATATCTCATCCAATAGTGATTTTGAACACAATAGATTCACAAATAACTGAAGACAGTATTATAAAAATGTGTCGGAAAAATGTAAATGGTCTTGTTGAAGTACTGGGTAAGGGGGCGTCCATTAATTACGTGAGGTGTTCAAGGGGGGGAGGGGATAAAACTAAATCTTTCTAAATCTCACTTGGGGGGAGGGGGGGTTTTCTTAAATCTCACGTAATTTGTTTTCTAGTAGAAAACGGTGTAAAATTGCGTGAAAGTAAAGTTAAATTATAGTAAAAGTATTTCTAGAATAAAATATGGAAAAATCTTATAATTATGTTTATTTACAACCATATATGTAATGTTGTCATTACTAACGTCATTGAAGGTTGGGAAGTGTGATTTTAAATAATTGCAACACTCTCAAACACTAGTCTTTGCTAGTCTTAAATAAAAGTAATGGAACATTGTGTTTTTGTTTTTTTTTAATAATCCAACACATTTACACCCAAAACACGAATTTTAAAAAATCTCACGTGAGATTAGGGAAGGGGGGGAGGGAGCTAAGGAAAATCTTACCAAATCTCGCCAGGGGGGGAGGGGGAGTCAAAAAATCCTCAAAAATACCTCACGTAATTAATGGACGCCCCCTAAGATTTATTAAAAAATACTCATTTTTGAATAAATTAATGTAAGTTTCTTATTTTTGAGTTGTTTTGAAAAAGTTGCTTATTTTTATTACTTCTACACAGTTAAAAAAAGTATCAACTTAGGATACATATAAGCTATAAGATCATGAAACGTCAAAATAGATGTATAAAACATAAATCAATTTCATATCAAATTGATTAGAAGAGGAAAATAAAACATAGCCCATTCTATTTCTATCTAAATAAGAGCATGGTTCAAAGTACACTTGTACAAAAGATCTATCTAGGCTTATTGGACCCCTCCCAGTTTCTACCCTATCAGGTTAATATTCTTGATGTATTCAAGAATATGTTAAACTTACAGTACACTCCGCAAGTAATAAAGGCAATTAGAAGGCATCCAAAATTGAAAATCTCGTTTTTAAATCTGCACATACATTTTTTTAGTTTTATTAGGGTATACCGGAAATGAAATTGTAACAGCTTTGGGATATCTTAATTAGTTGGGAAGAAGTCCTCAAAATGTGGAAAAATATAGTATATAAAAAAAAACAAAAATATATATTTACAGTGTGACATTAATATAAATTAATTTTCAGAAGTGGGATGCATCAGCCATTTTACAAAATAACCATAAATAATTCTAAGTTTACAGTAACATATTGTTTAGCTCCGAATATGTAATTTGGTATATTTTTTATGTTTATCAGTAGCTTATTATAAATTTTGAGATCAACTACTCTTACAAATCGTTGGCCGACGTCACTCTGACATTGGTGTCATCAAGCTGTTATTTGTCTTTGCTCTGGTGTTGTGAGCAGATGTGTAGCAGTAATTCTTAAATATGGTTTTCTATATATGAAAATACAACGTAAGTAAAAGTACAGTATTCTAAATGGCAAGCATGGAGAGCTATGAGGTAAAGTGATGGTTTTCTGAAGATTATTTTGATAATGCGATTTTGTATACCAAACTCAAATCTTGCCTTTAAAATTAAAATCAATCTAAAGGTTTGTTCGGGTTTCTTTAAAACTTGATTCAAATTATTTGTCTCATACAACTATTAAACTGTCCACTGGTCAACTAGTCCTCTGATCTCAATGTATTTTTGAAGAACCCGAACATACCTTATGTTTTTCGTTTTCCAGTTTTTATAGTCCAAAACTGAAGGTGGACTGTTTTCCAATCGGTATAAATATGTACCTAAAATATGTAATGTAATAAATTACCTTTAAAAATATTTTCACAAAATTGACACTTATAAATTGGCCCTAAATTAAAATTATCTGTAGCCTCATTAGAGTTACATGGAACAATATTAGCATCACTTTCCCATGAGTCAGGTAGGCACTGTTCAGCAATTGTTTGCAGACTTTGCATAGTTTCAGCTAAATCTAAAAAAATCATCTAGGTTTAATTTAAAGAAGGGTACATTTATAGTTTAGGTATTCAAAACACAGATCACATGCACAGCCGTGTGTCACTGATCAAGGTTTGAATGAGTGACTGAAATTGTAGGTCTCAGGGCCCATTTAGACGGTGGAATGTATGAGTTAAATGAATGGGAAGGAGTAGTGTCCAAATGGTGGTACAATAAGTCTGTAAGACTGCAACCCCAGAGGAGAGCCAGGAGCTTAAACCCAAGCCTGACTGGAAGGAGCCTGCTGGCACCCCTCATTGGGAAGCAGAGGGATAAATTAAATGCTTATTTATTAATCATGTATCTATTAGATAATGTATCTTTCAGAGTTGTGAATCTCTTCCAATTGTGAAGTTTAATCAACCAGTAACTGGTTATCTTGTAGTTCACCATTCTGCACTGTTTAGAATTTGAATTTTACACCTACCCCATTCCCAGATTTATATTCTTTTTTTGCTGTTTATTTTTATCTTTTAATTTTGAGAACAAGAAAAATGTTTCACAAAAAAAATACATCAAAATAATCTAAAATTAAAGAATATTCTTATTCATTTCTAAACATTTTCCTTGCCCTCAAAATTCACATTTGACAGCATCTTTGATAACACAAATTTACTTTTTCCTTGATTAAAAAAATTAGTATAGAGATTGGGAAATTAAAATGCAGATCACAGACCTTATATGCCAAATCTATTAGAGTCGTGCATAAATGGAACTGAGAAGGAAGTTTCACACACTGTGCATGAGATCACATAATGGATAATGCACTGCTGAGTGGTCCAATTCATACTCTTTACTATAATCCTGGTAACTATGTAATGACTGTTTTTTTTTAAGTGAGTTGGAATAGTAATAGTGAGGACATGTCCATTAGTACCCACCTAAATTAACATGGTTCTTTTTTTCTGATGCTTATAAAAATAAAAAGATTGACATTATTTTCAAATAATTAAACAAAAGTTTAAACAGTTCCATTAAATAAAACTTCAGCAATGGTAATTCTTATCAAGTTCTTTTTGTATTCTAAATGCTTTTACTGCATTTGTAACTCTGAGGTGCAGTTACCTGCACTAGCACCACTTTGACCTAGCTGATATTCCTTGTCATCATAAGAGCAGAACCCAAGGAAAACCCAATATGAACAACTCTCATTTTAAAATAATGTGGAAAGGGAATATAATGTTTAAGACATTTTTGTCATAATAGGTAAACACCTTATCTCTCCCTTTGTGATATACCTGTGCTAGTATTTTGATTGGTAAATGTTTCTACAAAAGAATGAGTGGTTGCATCATTAAAAATATCTTGAAATAATGAACTTTGCTGCAAAACTTCGCTGGTGTTAAATAAATCTGATTTTACTTCGTTCATTATGTTATCTGTAGGTAATGAAATTGTCTGTAGGCTTATATTTAAGTAATTTCTTAGCTCCATATCCGATTTTTCACAAAGTTGTTTAAAAGTGTATGACCTGTTTACATTCTGGAGACACTGTGTACATATTTGATTAGGTAAACCATCACCTTGTATTACCTTAAAAACAAATTAATTTTATTAACTAAAAATTAAAAGGGGCAATTAACTATTACTTGTATTGAAGCACAAGACATTAACATATTTGGTACACACGCCTCAAATAAAGGTTTTAAATTAGCTTTCTCTAAAAGGCAAGTTCTACAAATTTTATTCAACTTCATAATTATTTTTAAAAATTCAGAAACATCAAAATATCACGTAAATATAATATAAATATTAATTAATATTTTAGGTTATACTTATAGGTAAATCTGTGAGGTAAATAGAAGAAAAATAAGAAAATGTTTATGTGCAGTGCAATAAAAAAAGAAATTGGCTGAATAACAGAATAAAAAAGTAAAAACTGACGTTGCCGTTGTATACGGCCTATATAAACCATCTAAACTTCAAATCCCAAAGGTCAAAATCGTAGCATCTCATTAACCAGCGTTGCCAGTTTATAAAGACTTTTTATTGTTGAATTAAATGAAAAAATATTGATCTCGAAAAAAATTAAATTGCTACATGTTTAATGAAATAATACATATTATTTAATGGTTTTATTTTTAATATAAATGCCTTATAATAATATTTTGAAATAAAGATATAAATATTTAGCTTGCATTCGTTGACAACGTCGCGTATTCTCGTAGCAAATTCGTAGGTGTTATTTACTGGCGTGTTTATGAATGTGAAAATCTGCTTTTTGACAAGTGAAAAAACAATTTTTCTAGACTCTCAAAACATTGTTTGAGTTAAAATATCCAAATACTTCCATGCTGACCTTAATTAAAATCCATATGGTCGATTTGAAGTGATGAATTTTCCGATATAAACTTTATGCTTGATGTTGGACCAAAAAATGGCGATTTTACAATCAATTTTTAAACGATATTTAACTCCAATTTAGCTGTTATTCCAATAATAAGATGATTCTGTACCATAGCGAATGATTTGTAGATTATAGAATGAGTTTTTAAAATGGATCATGTTTGGTGTATAATAACAATAGGAGTACATACTTATATAAACATTTTCACCTGAAAAAAATGTCCCGAGGATATGGGAAATATCGCCGAGGGGGAGGATCCCACTCTAGTTTTCACTTTGACAATTTATTTAAAGAAAATAGCAATAGACCTTCTGCTGCTAGATCAGCAGCTACTGTTGGAAAATGGGGTATAACCTCATTCACCTCTATCCGCACCATTAATGGTTAGTACATCAAAACAATTTATAGATACATTATAATTTATTTAATTAAGGCCTATTTTGTTATTATAGCAAACATTTTATAAAACTATTCACTATTATAAATAAGGGTTTAGTGACAATTTTGTTTCATGTTTTTTTAATCATTTATAACTATAGGCAATAGTGTTTGGCATTCTAGATACCCTATTTATCCAATTTTGGTTAATAGAGGTAATTCTTCTTTAAAACAAATTCTCTAAATGTCCACTTTAGCAATTTTATTATATTGGCTACATGTTATGAGTAATTTAACCATTGGGTTTGTTTTACAATTTCAATATACAACAATTTAATTCACAGCAATATCAAGCTGGCTAGTGAAAAGTTGGAAAATTAGAAAAAGATGGAAAACTGGGTTGGAGTTGAATTTCATATACTTCAAAATAATTCTTAGAACACTGGATGCTCATTTGCACATCACTCTAGTTATTTTGTGGTTAGGATTAGTTAGGATGATGGGATGGTATTCCACAGGTTGTAGCTTTGAACCCCACCTATAGCTGATTTTTTTATATTCAATATTTTCTGTTTTTTCTCCTATCTGGGTTCAGGAAGTTTATTCCTAAATTTTCTTTTTGTTTTGTGCTGAACATTTTTCAATTGTTTCGGCAATTATAAACATACACAAATTTCTATTTAATATTTCTTTAATAGTATGGCATAATATTTACTATCTGCTGGTTAACACTTTGTGTAAGGTTTATAAAATCAAAAGAAATAAGTTAAAAATGTGTTTTGCTGATGTACTTTTTTTATAGTATTTCTACTGGTTCTGTACATTTAATGTATAAAGACCATATGACTAGAAATTTCAGCCATGTGCTCTTTGGCATTAGGTATTAATTAAAAAACAAATATTTTAAAATGTTTTGCTTATTTATAGTATTTTTTTATTATCCTAATTTATGTAGTTGTACATCTTTAACACTGGGGGCATGTATTTTGTCATTTAGTGAAAATTCTGCAATATATACTTAGTTCCTAACTAATTCTGTAGTACATAAATACCCAAATTAGATACCCTTAGGTAACCACACTTGTCTGCAAAATTTTAGGTAGTGTCCTGATATATTATAATTTTTTAACCGACTTTAAAAAAGGAGGCTGTTCTGAGAATTCATCATAATATTTTTTTTATGTATGTTCAGCGACAATTCTTTAACACTGTGTCCGATTTCAATGATTCTTTTTTGTTAGGAAAGGGGGTACTTCAGGGGTGGTCCCATATTAATTTGGTCAAAATCTAATAATTGGGTATATTAGAAAATCCTCAAAATCTTCATTTTTTTATGTATGTTTAGCGATAATTCTTTACCACCTTGTCTGTTTTCTATGAGTCTTTTTTTCTTAGTAAGGAGGTACCTCTGGCGTGGTCCCATATAAATTTGGTTAAGATGTAGTGACTGCACCTACACGATTTGGAAGTCAGTTTTTTAAAATTACTTTTAATACTAGTTACGTATGTATACTTCTTAATTGTCTTTTCAACTTTTTTTTTGAAAATTGACATCTTACAAATAACTAAAATTTGTTCTAAAAATAATTATTGCTTTTTCTTTTAAAATAAAATTATTATTTAAATGTTATCAGTATTTAATATAATAGCATAAGAACTGATACATTCTATGTTAAACTATTATCTTAAGAATATTTACTTAATTGTACTGGTGCAGTATTACAATTTTGCACAAGATATTCCAAATAGCTCTCCTTTATAATAAAAATTGTGTCATCCTCATAAATGATTATGTTATTAGAAATGTTATTTATTAGAATAGAGGTCTTATAATTAAATTTAAGGTACACTCGAAACATGAAATTATTTTATAAATTCAAGAAACAATTGAAAAGTAGTTAATATTACATGCAATTTATACAAGATATGAATAAAATTTATGTTGTACTATTATTTAAAAAATTATTTACAGTTGCTTAAAAAAATAATTCAACTGAGATTTTTCAATAAAGCAAAATTAATTAATTTTTAAATTTTTGAAATCTTAATTACCTTGCTTAAATTAGTTTACCATGTATCTTAAAAAATAGTGGTTTACTTATCACATTTGTAAATAAAGGTTTTAGATAAGCATAATAAAAAAGATTTTATCATACATTTTAAAGATAAGAAAGCACATGTATCTACAATAGGCAAGTAGTCTGGTGAGAAGTAATTTTATAAAAACAATACATGGATGATAACCTAAGACCAATTTTTAAAAAAGGTATAAAAGGTATTTTACAATTTTTTTTTAATATTTTAATGAAATTTCATAATTACACATAATATGGTACATATGGCAAGAACCATGTAATTGTTGCAAAACTGTCACATGTCATAAACAAAAATAAAATAAATTATTTTAATGTAAATACTAAAATGTTTCTGATAAATTGTTTTCTTAATTTTTGGTATTTCTAAGAGGTTTTTTAATCATTCAAATTAATAAATAATACTAATATTAATTGAAGAAGGTTACCCAACTACTCTAATGTATTCTTAAATAGTAAGCCAATGAATAAAACCAATTCCACATAAAAAAATATTTATCCAAACAAAGTTATAAGACACCGGTTTCAATCCTAGGCCATCATCAGGTCGAAAGAGTAATTGTTTTTCACAAATGTTGAGACATTCTCTTACTAGTAATATTAATACCTACTTAAATATCAAACTAAAATAAATTATTAATAGACAGAATATCATTCATTAGTTATTTGCCTATACAGGGTGAGTCATAACTATTGGGTCATAGAGTAAGAAGAGGTTGTTTGGACCAAAATATTAGGATTGGATCAAACATGCCTTGAAAAAATATTGCTGTGCAAAAAGATCTTGTTCCAATAAAGTTTATTTAACGCTTAATTTGTTTCCATCTAGTAGTATAAATTTACATTAATATTCCTTATGATAAGCAAATATTTAAGAGCGTAAATCTACATATAAAATTAATGATAGTTTGCTTTATAAACTATGGTCCAAAAATGTTCTGTTAATATAGGGTGCTAAAGTTTTGCAAAAAAAAAGGAAAATTGGTTCAGTGATATTTAACATTCAGTGACAGTTAATAGTGGTGCATATTTTTCAATCAAAAATAATTTTCATCTTTAACAGTGTCGTGCGTATGGGCACTAGCCTCAATATTTTTAAAGAAAAAAATGGTGCGCCTATGGATTTTTCCCAAATAAAAATTATCTTTAAATTCCCCTTTCAATTGTACTCTTAAAGGATCTCTTGATTTGTTTTCCTACGGTGCTCCTTTTTTAGTAAAAAAAAAGGAAAAATTGTTGTATTGTCTGAGCAAAATTAATGTAATTATTGAAAAATTAAAGAAAAAAATTTGACATTTGGACCGTAGTTTATAAAGCAAACTATCACTAATTTTTCATGTATATTTACACCCTTAAATATTCACATATCATTAAGGAACACCCTGTATACTATAACGCAATGTTATATCAATATAATAAGGGGTATCCTTATTATTAACAATTTTTTAAAATGTTCCATTATATCAATATCAATGATGAAAATAAAATTAATTGGCAACACGAATTTTATTATCTAATAATTAAAACTGACTTGAGTTGGGATTTCAAAAAATTATCAACACTTAAGTTTACCACTAAATTATATAGATTTATATATTATGATGAGTATGACGACAACCATATGGCAATGATTAATAGATATTGGTATGTATAGGCTACATTAGTGACGACGTAGTTTGTATTTTAATGACAATGACAGTAAACTTATAACAATACAGGTTATAGATATTCATTAATGTTTTATGACTATTATTGTATTCATTTAAATATGTCATTTCAATGACAGAACGGTTCGTTTTTGTTAAAAGTAAATTATCATTAGAACAAAAACTATAGCGAATTGAAAGAAGTTTGTCACTCAGTCCAATTGGTTGAAACAACATCACATGGCACATGAATTAGAGGTTATTGTGAAATTTTCCCAAATTATAATGGTATAGTAAACCATAAAATCAGTTTTTCAATAATGATAACAAAGTACCTGACTATTTTCATAAACCTGTTTTGAAACTGACAAATAATTTGTCTGGTTATGTACCTAGCTCTTTCTTCTAAATGAAACCTACATATTGAAATAGATACCAACTTTTTTAGGTATTCGCTCAACAGAAAAGAATTCCAAGCCAGCTACTCCAGACGCAGCACCAAAACCAAAAAAGTTCTTCAAAAGTCGAAACCCCGACCCCCCTGACTTAACTCCCTCCTACTCCAAGTCATCGCACCCTCCCCCAAAGAAATCTAGGCAAACTGTAGAGCCCAGTGACAGGTAATTTTTTACAAATATTGTTTTGATATACATTGATTTATAAAGCCGAATTCTTACCTACATCATTGAGTAAGAGAAACATTTGTATTTATAATAAACAAATACTTAAGAGGTATTGCATTTTTAAGTGGCATGAGCCAAAAAAATATTATTGTTAGAAAGGCTCAGGATAATTTTGAAGAATCTTTACACATTGTTCAGCAAAATTTAGACCATACATTTTTTAGCAGGTCAGATATTTTTATAAAAAAAAAACATGAATAATTGACTGTTTTTTATTGTGATAGTAAAAAAATGCACTTAATTAAATATGATCGTTGTCCAAAATTTTTCCTGCTTAGGTGATTGAAATGGTGTTAAAATTTTGGGCTTCTTCATGAACAATTTAGACAGTGTTTTTGAAAAGCAATAGGCGGATGCTATCTCTCTCTGGTATTTATTTTTAAAATAAAGTTATTAAAATGAAACACTAACTTGATGTTGATATGTACAGTCTTCTACAACGTGACCAAATTGATGTCAAAAAATTACAGAGGTATGATACTTAGCTGACGAAACCTCATCAAGTTCGCACATGAAGTATTGTGGTGGGTCATACGGCTGATTGGCTTGAACAGATTACAATTTATTTTCGTGCTGTTTCGATCAGCTGATACCCTAAATTCGTAAAAGCCACGATTCCACACCACAATACGTCATCGTGACGTAGTATCAATCGGCGTAATATACCTTCTTTTTTAGTATCAGGGTCATCACTTGCCTACAAGTAAAATTAATAACTTCAACAGTAACGCTAAAATGGGGTTCAATGGGGAACTCATGTGCCGACTATGTCACAAGAAACCAGAAACGGCCAAACACATACTGTGCGAATGCGAAGCTCTAGATCGCAAAAGACAGGCTCTTTTTGGACAACCCCAGGTTGATCCAACAGAGTATAGAACCCACTCACCCATAGATCTGTACAAACTTGTACAAGGTACAAAGGTGACAGAGTGGGTGCTATGAACTAACATGGGGTAAAACACAATAAGCCAATAGGTTTCAGTGTTATTCGAAGACATAGTCAGACGATCCCAGGAGAAAAAAAAAAGTCACTAACAAATGTTACTCCTATAGGGACCGTGGGTCATGACTTTAACGCCAACTCATGACTAGAATGTGAGTTTTATAGGAGGATGTTTTTTACAGTGTACCAAAAAGTAAAAGGGTTGGTGCTTATTGACAACTTAAGTCGTAACACTAATTCTGATTATGTTTCAGAAGAAATTGGTAGAAATAGTTTGTATTATAAACAGGCCAGACACGTCATCATTAGCGCCCCGCCCACTGCCGTTGGATTGATGGATCGATCACCTTCAAACGTAAAAAAGAACATATGCATGCATTTGTTTACTCTGTTGTTCTTTTATGATTTAAAGAATAGGTGATATTTTAGTGTAAAGTTGGTAAAAAATGGCCTAAAATTAATTAGCCGAGGCAAAGTAGCTTTTCCGCTGTGTATTTTAGTATACAATACAGGGTGTACCAACGAATACCTCCCCAGAAACTCAAAAAAAATCCCTATTTATTGCAGAGGGGAAGAATTGTCATATAAAATTCATAGCCAAAAATTCAACCCCTTGGAGCCCGACAGCAACCCCTATTTTTTAAATAGTAAGTATGGTCAAGTAACACATCATTTGCAAGATATTTTTTTTCTCTTATACAACCCAAGGCCACTCCGTCTGCAGATCTTGCAGAGCTGTGACAGTGAAATATTGTGAATGCCGATTACATGAGGTCATTTTGAACAATACATTTGTTAATTTTAAGAAATGTATTTTTTTTTGTTATTGATATTCCTAAATACTTCAATCTAAAATATCTTCAAAATTATTTCCTAAATAAAAAAAATAGTATTGTATAGAGAAAAAATATCTTGTGCTACTTGACCTTACTTGCTATTTAAAAAAAAAAAAAAAATAGGGGGTTGCTGCCGAAAGTTGGATTTCTGGGAATGAATTTTATATGACAATTCGTCTTCTTGCCAATAAAAGTTGACGCGTTTTTTTTTTAATTAGGGAAAACTCCTTTGTTTCTGTGTTTCTGGGGGGAGGGGGATCAAGTTATCTTTGGTATTTAATATATAAACTTTTGTATATGCCACTGCTTTTCTATAGTTGGGCGTTTCCAGTTAATAGGTTGATGACATGTCTGGCCTGTTCTTAAAGCAAACGAAGTCTATTCATTGTGAATGTAGTATAGAAATACGTTTAGCGTTATTAAATTGCTCAGGTATGTTCTGGTTCTTAAAAAATATATTGTAAACTGTCCGATTACTAGATGACCAGTGGAAAGTTGAAAAGTTTTTGATATTCAACTGTTCCACTGAATCTCGAACGGTTGCGGTACATTTTGAAGAAACCAGAACAAGTCTACTGCATGAATTTCAAGTATAACAATAAAAAGTTTGAAATTGATTTATATCATCCTGTATAGCAAAGAGGTTTTCAAACAGTAACAACTTTAGAGAAAAAAGGATTACCAAACTAAAATGTTAGTAATACAAAAATGCAATTTACAACAGAGATTTAATTTTGACAGCAGTCAAAATTACTCTGCCCATATTTAAAAGCAAAATATAATTCCCTAAAGTAACTACGAGGGCTGTTCTTTTTTCGTTGAACATTGTAAAGTAAAACAGTTTATTTACATAAAAAAATATTTTTCCTATGACCACTTAGGAAAGTGACACATATCACTCTATATAGACCTATGGATAGTCCCCTATATCACACGCGTATGAATAAGAATTTACTTTCCACCCGTGTACGAATATGCCACGTTCCGCATCAGCTGTCACAAAATGTCAAACGCGTAATTTCTATTTTGATCTTTGTAATGTCCATATTAATACTAAAATCGATATGATTGTTAAATTATTGAAATTGTTGTAAATTAGATCCTAGATATTTATCTTTAACAATTATTATTAAAATAATTTTAAAATAACTAAGTAATGTTTGCTTTTTATTCTGGTTAAACACAACCAATTAGATCCTTCAATTGACACAAGGCCTATTAGCTCAGATGGTTAGAGTATCAAACTTTATCAACAAATTTTTTTTATTTTTTTTTTGTTTTTTAGTTTTTTTTTTTGTTTGTTTAGATAATACGAAAATTGAATAAATACGATTATTGTTGATTATTTTTTTAAATACATTTTAGTTATAATAAAAAAAAATAACCTGGTTTTACATTTTTTGATGAAATTATTTTGTGGTCGTAGGAAAATATTGTGTGAAAAGTGATTTTCCACACTCGTGTGATAGTCGCACTCGGCTTGTGCCTCGTGCGACAATATTTCGCACTCGTGTGAAAAATGTTTCTTTCCACACTCGTAATGTAATATACTATATAATTTTTCAAAGTATTGTCCTTTACGGTCAATGTATTTTCGAATCCGCGAAATTCATTCTTGAAAACATTTTCTAGACTCTTCTGACCGTAAGTTTGTTTATTTCATTTTTAAAGGTATTAACCGCTTTGTCAGATGTAAAACGTAACCCCCTTATTTTTTCTTTACCCGCGGAAAGAAGTCATTAAGTGCTTGGTCTTATAACAAAACGTGGGAAAATCGGACTGGGAACGGCAAAGTCCCTAAGACCTATAAGTCTGTCTTTCGTACTCAAGACTAGAGAAACTGCTAGGCAGACATAATAAAAATGGAACATTGGTTCAAATACCAATAAATCAGGACTAATACTCCTATAGTACAGGAAAATCAACAGAAACAGCTCTCCATCAATTATTATTAGTAATAAGGTTGGAGAAAACTGGAAAACAAGGAGGTATTGTTAGGAGCTTCCTTGGACTTCGAGGGAGCATTTGACAACACCTCTGTCGACTCTTATCATCAGAATTCTGAAAACATTGTGTAACCTGGATATACTCTATGCTAAGAGGGAGAATGGTGCATGCAACCATTATGGGAGGGACGATAGTGGCACGGGTTTCAAGGGGATGCCCACTGGGAGAAGTACTGTCTCCAATCCCATTGGAACCTGGTCATGGATGGGATGCTTTGGACTCTTAAAAACAATGGGCAAATGACCCTGGAATATGTCGATGATCTAGTGAAGGCACAGGGTAAATAAAACACTACAGTTAGAGATCGCCTGCAAGAGGCTCTAAACATAGTAAAAAAATGGATAGAAAGTTACAATTGACTTGAAAATTACTTGGACTCAACATTTGGAAAGCACATCAAGAAAAGAGGAAACATCACTAGTGACGGCAAGACGCTCCTTTAAAAAAAAATGGGGACTGTAATCAAGTATGATATATTGGCCATACAATATGGTAGTAAGATCGATAATAACATACACAGCTTTGGTGTGGTGGCCAAAGACACAAAGAACGACAATAACGAGACTAAGCAAGATACAAAACTCGCCTGTCTTGGAATAACAGGGACAATGAGAACAACCCCCACAACAGCAATGGAAGTACTAATAGGCTTGTCACTCCTTCACTTTGTGATACAAGGGGAGGCATGATTAGGTGCTTACAGATTAGGGAACACATTAGGAAATCTTTGCATTTTGCATATTTTACTAAATTTATGTTCTATAAAAGAGAAATTTTGATGAATTAAACAGTAAAATTTGAAAAGCAATTTGAAAATTGAAAATAAAAAGTTAATAATCTACAAAGTTAACGATATTTTATGAACCATAAGTATTGTACTCGTAAATTTGCAAAGGGCAAACTGAAAGTAGTTTTATGAAATAGGCCCCTAGTCATATATCACAAGGTTAGTGACGAGGGCTTGCTAGATATGAAAAAAGATCACATTACCAATCGTTACTCCTTAACACTCCATTCGAGGTTTTAATACCAAACAGAACGGAGATCAGTATAAGGGAACCCAGTGCCCAACGACAGGAACATACCTGGTACACAGACAGGTCAAAGACTGGAGCAGGGACTTGAGTACTCCCCAAAAACCCCAACACCAAACTTAGCTATGCAATAGGAAGACGCGCTTCAGTATTTCAGGCAATTTTATGCAATGTGTAAGAACAACCAATCGGAGAGCTAACGAAAATAAGCAGATCTAAATAATGTCAGACAACCAGGTGGCCTTTAAGGCCCTATTGAGTCAGAAAGTGATGCCAAGTCTAGTATGGGATTGCATCAAAGAGAACAGAACACTGGCCGACTAAAATAGAGTAAAACTAGTTTGGGTGCCAGGTCATCAAGGGATCGAGGGCTGACGAACCCACAAAGAGGTCAGAAGAAATACCGGAAGCATCAAAAAGTACAGTTCGAGGTTTCATAAATGGCTGGGTTCGGAGAAAACACAACTATTGAAAGAATGTCCTCAAAACAAGCACATGGGTGACCTCTATAAGAAGACCATGTTCAAAAAGAACAGGATAAATACTCTCCATTAATAGGAACCAGTTGAAAACAATAACAGGACTCATGACTGAACATGCCCCAGTAAACAGATACTTGAATAAAATAGGAATGTATAATGGAGACCTATTGTGTCTTAATCTGTCAAAATGAACCAGAAACAGCCATACACATACTGTGCAACTGCTAGGCATTGGATCGTAAAAGACAGGCACTTTTTGGACAACCACAGGTTGATCAAAGAAACCTGTCAATGACTTCTACAAACTTATACAAGGGACTAAGGTGATATAGTGGGTAGTATGAATTAGTATGGGTCAAATACAATAAATAAGCTTTAGTGTTATTGTAGACTAAGTCAGATGAGCACAGAAAAAAAGAGTGCTAGGTCTGTATTTTACTGCAAATGACCCATTATTTCCATGCTTTGGGAATTTAAATACTCATTTGTTCAAGCAACGGGTGAGTCCAAGCAGTATCTTGATGCAAGATGATCCTTCCCTTTGGACGTTTTTCGCTTACCTTTTTGGAGAAACTGTAGTGTACTTATTCTCTAGTGTTACAGTAGTGAAGACATGCCCAGTAATTTCAAAAAAGGTGGCGACCATCTTTTTGTTAAGGCTTTTTTTCGTAAACAACTTTTGTTGGAGCCAACTCATTCTAAAAAATCAACTTACAATTGTTGCTTTTTTTCGGGATCATAGCAACATACCCATGTTTCATCACCTGTGATGATGTACACCAAAGCGATCTAGTGTAGATTGTACCATTGCTTACTAGATAGGCTCAGGGGAAAAATAACAGCCCTTGTAAAACCACTAATTTCCCTTTGGATAGAAATAATTTCCATATCACTAGATTAAAATTTGTTGATAATGCAATAGAAAGTTGGCGATAGAATTTTGATGGACAAAGAAGGTATTTTCTAGTTCCTCCTATAAAATAGAAAATTAAGATAAAATATACCATGCAAATGAAGATAAGTGTTATTTCAACCATACCTGTATAGCAAATATTTTAAAGGGCAGTTTTTTGTTGCCTAAAAAAGCAGACTACAGCAGTTATGGAATTTTTTACCAGTTATACCGCCCGACCGCATTGTAACGTTGGCCAGGCCATATAAACTAGCATTGCTGATATTATTACTTTTCTGCTCGTCTAATGCTAACTATCTGTAGTTTTCACACACACACACTTGTACAAACCATATTGGAAAGCATTCGATAGCTGATACTGTATAATATTGTGAATTCAAATGTTTCTACTACTCAGTATCTTAAGACAAAATTTAATTGTTGGGATTTTACTTTAGGACGACTAGAGCATCTTCCCCGCGAAAATTCTTCTCGTCTAAAAGTAGCAGTAGTAGCAGCAGCACCACCACAGAAAAGACTGTATTGAGTTCAAATGTAAATAAGAGTAAAAATAATGAACCCACAAAACCACCAATAGTATTAAGAATATGCCGAGGAAAGTCCCAGTTACTTAACGATTCCGACGAATCAGAAAGTACGCCTACTCCTTCAAGCACTCCCTCTACCTCCAACACCACCAGCCCCAGAGCTTTGAAGGACACGACGAGGCCTAGCAATTGTCGGATTACGAGGTAGGCTTTTTTTATCATACAAATTATTATTATTCTTAAGTTTATAAAACTATAATAGACAAACCAACGACCTGTCAAAATTGCTTCTGTGGGCATTGATATGGCGACTTTGAGGGCATTGATATGGCGACTCTGAGGGCATTGATATGGCGACCCTGAGGGCCTGTTGGTTTTGACATGGTCAGTGCTCAAAGTGCGTCGCTTTCTAAGTGGCCATATTGCCTCGCAAGTGCCCATTAATTAGAATCGATTTAGCAAACATGTGTTTTAAAACCATTTTTCAGCTGTTGAACGTAGTAAAAAAATATTTCTTACATTTTTACTTCAAGGCATAAGCTTACGTTAATTTTGAAAAACATGGATGATCAATCTATATCATTGACTATCAAACCTACCAGGCTCATAGAGTTGTCATATCAATGTCCACGGTCAACCATTTTGTTTGAAATGCCTAATAGAAAAACGATGCTGTTATATACAAGGAAATAGAACAATACATACTATCTCACTACAGGTAGAGGTGTAACCTTGCTTTTTAGTGTTCAATCATAAGTGATAACTACTGAAACTTTCGCCATGTTACACAACAAGCGACATACAGTCCAAAGCAGTTTGTGGAGTACTGAAATTTGTGCTGTTTTTTGATCGCCGAGTGGGGAGTGCTAATCGCAATATCCCTTCCTTGCCATCGAAAGGGCATAGGTAAACCAAGTTACACTCTGTATACCTCTCGTGTCCAATTATATGTAATAGAAATACTTATAGTTACTTTCATATAGAACAATGGTAAAATATACCACATTTTACATACATATATAACATAAAATTTAAAATAAAATATTATTTTAAAAGATTATAACGCTTTGTAATAGTTACAAAAAAAATTTAAAAACTATAAAAAAAAAGATTAAAAATATTAGGTGACATGTTTCACTCTTACAAAATAATTGTTAAGGCTGCGATTTCCACAATAATGGCGGCAAAATATTGCATGCAAAATATCAACCAACGCGAAGACAGTGATTTAAAAAAGTAAAAAGATTTACTGATTTTTTATAGGAGCTCTACATAAAATAAAGTTTGAGCTTTGCTATGAAGCATTTTCATCATAATACAACGCTAAATAAGTGGTTAAATGATTTTTTTTAAACCCTAAGTTATCATGAACAGTTTTTTCGATGGCATTTAAATTTGTTTCATAATTTTATAACTAAACTACTTCATAGCAAAGCTTATACAGGGTGTTTCCGAACTTGGCGTCCAAATTTGTAGGTTTGGTAGTTCGCATAATTTGAGACCGATTCGCAGATTTCATTTTTTCAAAATATTTAGGATTCTTGTGATAAGATTTAAAAATGTAGGGCCCATAAGATGCTGCCATCTGAACAGACGGAATATATATCTCGTTTATTTAGCAAAGCTAATAGTACATTACAAATAAATAAAATTACAAAAAATATTTATCTATATCTAAAATATAAAATATAACACTAAAATATCACAGATGCTGGCTCGTTAACATATAATCTCTTAGTTTATATTTAAAGGTATTAAATGAGGCGACATTTCGGAGTTCTAAGGGTATCTCATTAAAAGCTTGAAGTCCCTTAAAAAATATTGAATTTTGGGACTGTTTACGTGCAACTTGTGGAATATGAAAATTAGATCTATTTCTTGTGTTATAGTTATGATAGTCAAAGTTGTAATTGATTTTATCAAGTAAATAAGAGGGGACCAGTCCATGTTTAATTTTATAAATGAATATTAAAGTTAAGTACAGAAAATAGTTTTTAACAGAAAGCCATTTCAAATTTTGTAACATACCTAATATATTGGTCCTTCTATCACATGACAATAATATCCTCATTGCTCTATTTTGTAATTTCTGAAGTCTGTTGGTTTCATTATGATTAAGTAAATACATAATGGTGGCACAATAAGTGAAATGAGGCAAAACTATACTGTTATATAAAAGAATCAATGACCATTTATTAATATATTTTGAGCACCGGTATAAGTAGTTGACTTTAAACGCTACTGTTTTAATGATATAGTTTGCATGATCTTTAAAAAACAACATATGGTCTACTATTACTCCCAGATATTTAATTTTTTTTACGACTTCAATGACATCATTTTCAATACTAATTTTCATATTATTTTCAGTAAATTCATTGTAATACCTAACATTCCCGATAATCATAAATTTAGTTTTGTTAATATTTACTTTTAACGAATTAAAACAACACCAATAATATATTTGCTTTAATGTGGTATTTATAGTAGCGGTTACTTCCTGCAAATTATTAGCAGAATAATACAGCAGAGTATCATCTGCAAACATATGTATGGAGCAACCACCTACAACTTGAGAAATATCATCAATATATAGAAGGAACAATAGTGGGCCCAATACACTCCCCTGTGGTACGCCTAATTCATTTTTTTGTTCTTTTGATAAAATGTTTTTAAACCTTAATTTTTGTTTTCTATTGTCCAGGTAATTTATAAGCCATTCTAGTGAATTTTCAATAATACCAAAACTTTTTAACTTTTTAATCAGTAGAGATCGATTTACCGTTTCAACTGCTCTTTGTAGGTCTAAAAAAAGAGCACCTGTAATTAACTTGTTGTCAAGATTCTGTTTCCAGTCATTTAATACATATTGTAGTGCAGTCTCGCAGCTGTGTTTACCCCGAAATCCTGATTGATTACTATTAAACATATTATTTTCTTCCAAATATTCAATAAGTTGATTATATACTACTTTCTCTAAAAATTTTTCTACTGTACATAACATATTAATAGGACGTAAGTCCACTGCCCTATTTGAATTCTCAACCTTAGCTATTGGTGTTATTATTGAAATTTTTAGATCGTCTGGAACAGTATTAGTCTCTAACGAGGAATTTATTATATTTATCAATGGCTTAGCAATATTTTCGAAACAGTATTTTAAAAACAGTACATTAATTTCATCAGGACTTCCTTTATTCGACATATCAAAAACAATTTCTTTTAAAGTATCAAAACTAACAAGATTAAACTTTTTAAGACTTACATTATCATTTTTAACAATAATGGGAAAATCATTAACGTTCTGATTTATATTAGATACTAAGTCAATTATACTATCAATGTAATATGTGTTAAGTGCATCTGGCATTTCAATTATGTCTTTTATAATTAAATTTTCATTTATTTCAATTTCTACAAGATCATTTTGTTTATAGTTTTTGGGTAACAGTTCCTTCATTACATTCCATAATTTAACAGAATTATTTTTATTTTCCATAATTTGAGAGTCATAATATTTTCTCTTTTCATTTCTAATAGTTTCAACAGCCATATTACGTTTCTGTTTATATAATTCTTTATTTTGTTCTGTTTTGTTTAATACATAATTTTTGTAAGCCTTATCCCTATCTATAGTTGCTGTGTGCACTGTGTCATTCCACCAAACTCTAAATTTTGGAAAAATCTTAATAGTTCTCTTTGGTGCCACCTCATTTAAAACCCTCATTACTTTTTCATAAAAATCCTTATATTTGGCATTAATCCGTAATCTATAATTCCATTCAACTTTAGATAATTTTTCATTAATAGTATCATAATCGATAATTCTACCTCTACTTTCAATTAATTGTGGTTCCTTGGTTAGTGCCAAACAGTCTAGATATATTAAAATAATAAAATGTGTACTTATTCTAGGCGATGTAACAATTTCTACCCTAATATTTTCAGAATTAGTTATTACAAGATCTATAAGTGAGCCACCATTATTACTATTGGAGGGATGGGTAACTTGTGAAACAATATTTTTCAAACCAATGTCAGAAATACAATTTTTTAATCTGCTACTGTAAGTATTGTCATGCATCAAGTCAATGTTAAAATCACCTGTTACAATTATATTAAAATCACAATCACATAAAAAGTCATCTGCAAAATGTTCAAAAAAGTCTAAAAAATCCTTACAAGAACTACTAGGAGATCTGTATAAACTAACAACTAAGTAATTACTTTTTTCAAATAAAAATTTCAATAGTATTATCCAATATTTTTTTTGTGTACAAAATTTTTTAAAACTCAAAACCTTTAATTGATTGTTTATGTAGATTAAAGCCCCACCAGTGTGCCGACTATCACTATTAACCCTATAACTATTTTAACCATTTATAGTAATTTCAGAATCGAATATTTCATCAGTAAGATGTGTTTCAGAAAGGCACAATAATAATGGTTTTTTTGACGTAACTATAGCTGAAATTTCATCAAAATGACATAGTAAACTTTGAGCATTAAGTGATAAAATGAAACATGCAAAGTTTTTATTTATTGTTTTTTTAGATAATAGTTTAGTTTTACTGTTCCCTCTGTTTAAGTAATGTGAATAATTTTTTTGTTGGATGGAAAATCCATATTTTCTGTACTAGTAGGGACTGTTATATCACTTAAAATTATAATCTTTTCATTGTTATTTGATTTAGGAGTATTTCCATCTATGCAAGCAGTTTGATTATCAGTTTCAATAAATACTAAATTATTTCTGTACTTTACTGAACATATTTTATTTTTAATCAAAAATGCTAATTTCTTATTATTCAATCTATAACCATTCTTATCATTAACATATAAAAAAGAGAAGGAGTTTTTTTGATACCAGTCTATATAACTTATAAAACCTGATAATTTAGAATTGAAATTAATTATTTGTTTAATATTAGTTTTAAATTTAGGTATTGATAGAAAAATTAAATTTGTGTGCAAGCACTGTTTTAATTTATAACTAATATTCTTAATGCTAGGATACCTGTTTTTTAATATGTCGTTTTTTCCTGCCATAATAACTACATAATCATTTGAGTTAAAGTTTTTAGTAAGATTTTTAATATCTTCTAGTATTCTATTAAATTCTGCTCCTGGTTTTAAAATTATTTCAATTGACGCACTTTCTCGATAAAAACACTTTCTTAATTCCCTGTCCAAACCTCTTCCAT